CAAAAGAAAAATAAATATTTTGTGAGGAAAGGAAGCATTATTGATCCTGGTCATGTGTTGTTCTGTGGTTACTTTTAAACGTTTAAATGGTTTATACCTAATGAAAATAATGAATTACTTAAATTCACCTGAGAATTATTTACCCTTGACCTGCACGTTGAGATCATAGTCAAACTTTTTAAAAATACTAAAAGTTCGATTTATTAGTATTAGGGGCAAAATATGATAAACATTGGAATTTTTTTAACCCCCTTAGATGATGGCAATGTGCAGCCTAGGTTGTGAACCACTGCTCCAACAAATGCTATCAATTGTGAGTTGGTAGGGAGAAAAGACTTAGCAATTAAAAGTTCTTAGTAATTAAAAAAAAATTGCCAGTATATACCCTGAAAGTATAAGGAAATCAGCATTTTCAAGTGTATGCCTTTACTCTTTATTCTGGTAACTATTTGTATTCTACCTAGGCTCAAAACTTTATTTTATTTTTTTATCATATTGTATCAAAACTTTATTTTAATGTCTATGATTTCCTCCCATACTGATAATTATATGTCAAAATTGACACAACTTAGGAATACCAAGTAAAGTATTGCTAAGAACAAGTCATCTCCATCTTCCTGAAGATTCAGAATCTTTGATTGAGATTTCTAAAGGAATTGGTATCATAATTAATCTTGAGCTCTTAGTTTATTCAGTCTGTATCAGGATTAGGGGCGAAGGGATAAAGAAATGATTTGGGGGCTTTGGCAGCCCTCTTTTGAGTCTATGGACTATGAATTGTGCAAGAAAATAGGGGGATATTTGTATAATACTATAAAAAATTCTTAAGCTCTGTTTTACACATTTTTAGTATTTTTTAACATCATATAATTCCACTGTAATAACATGTAGAATATATAATAATACTTAAGTGTTTAAGTGTGAAGTTGGCAATACATTTAAGTTGGCCTTCATTCCTCCTCCATGTCATATTTATGTTTACTATCCATAATCTTTCTGGAGGGCAGTTTAGTCATAAATTTGTTCTTGAAACAAAATGTCTTAAACATGGTCTTAAACAATGGGAAGAAAAATTTTATATATTGTGTTTTTAATAAGAAAAATTAAAATGGCCTAAATATTACAAGCTACGGATTGGCTAAATAAATTATATTGCCAGACTAATAAAATAGCTATTTAAAACTCTTTCACTGTAATAGTTAATAAAATTGGAAAAATCTGTGATAATATTGTTTAGAAGGAAAAAAGAGAGGCAAGTTAACAAAATGTACAATGTGATTCCAACTTTCTAAAAAGTATTTCCATATACCTATGGGGTAAAAGATAAGCACGAACATGCCAAAATGTTAACTGTGGCTCTTTCTGGATATTTGGATTATAAGTGAATTTTAGAGTAGTTTTTTTTTTAATTCTTAGTGATATTAATTTATTATTGTCATATTATGTGGTACCATTTTTATTATACTCTGTAAATTGACTTCATGCTACTTTCTTCAATGCATATGATACACACATAACCTCATACCTTACTTTTTTCTCTAACTTCTTTCATGGTTGAATTTTTTTAAACGCACACTGTCCATATTTATTTTGCTTTGATAACAAAATTGCCATTTGGAGCAGAACTGTATTTAAGGCTTTTGGCCTCAATGTAATGACAGAAATATAGCTAGGGAATTAGGAATATTATTGGACGCACACTGTGGTCAGGTAAAAGCATATCCATATGTCATCTTCAGCCAGGCACACTTTCCCTACTCAGTGCAGGTGTCTTTTGTGTTTGTTTGACAGGTGCATTTGACTACCTGCCACATGCCAAACACAAGATAGTACAGGGGGTGAAGATAAATTATTAGGCACTGTTCTTGCTATCAAGGTAATTCATAACCCACAAAATAATCTTCATTATTGTTTCAAATTTCCTGATTTAAATCCAGAGCAGGAAGGAAAAAATACTTGTCATAGAAACTGTTTTAAAGGAGAAATTAATAGATAGGATGACTTGTTTCATGGTTACTTGTCTTTAACTTTAATGTAAGGAATTAAAACCTTTGTTCTCTCTCTCTCTCTCTCTCTCTCTCCATTATAGTTAGAATTAGAATATTTGGGAAATTCCTCTTGCCAGTAGAATGGTGGAATAAGCTATAAAACATGTGATGGCTCATGCTTATAATTCCATCTGCTTGGGAGGTGAAGAGTGGGAGGATCATGGTTTGAGGCCAGCCCAGGCAAAGAGATAGCATGCCCCATCTCAACAGTAACTACGAGTGATGTTGCACACTTCACATCCCAGCTACACAGAAGGCGTAAATGAGAGGCATAAGTAGGAGAACCACAGTACAGCCTGGATCAGGCAAAATGGGAAGCCCTACCTAAAACAAGTAAAGTGAAAAGGGCTGGGGATATGGGTCAAGTGGTAAAGCTCAAGACCCTGAGTTCATATACCAGAACCACCAAAAAAAAAAAAAAAAGCAAAAAAACAATTGGAGAACATGTGTATAATGAATTTTAGGCTTACAAAACTTGTCAAAGACACCAGGCACCGGTGGCTCATACCTGTAATCCTAGTTATTCAAGAGGCAGAGATCAGGAGAATCTCAGTTCACAGCCAGCCTGGGCAAATAGTCCTCATGACCCTATCTCAAGAAAACTCATCACACAAAAGGGCTGGTAGAGTGCTTCAAGGTGTAGCCCTGAGTTCAAACCCCAGTACCACAAGAAAAAAAAAAAAAAAGAAAGGAAGTTGTCAAAGAATAAAATTATTTGAAAAGTGCTGAAGAAGTAATGTTAAATGAGAAGAACAAAAGTTAGAATGGTGTTATATATAGCATGATCCCAAATACATTTTCAGAATATAGTTGGATGCTCAAAGAGTGTTCGAAGGTTGCTTCTCCTAAAACATAGATGACATAAGTGATGGTTAGTTTAACGTGAAGCCACGTGCCAGACACTGGTGGCTCACACCTGTAGTTTGAGTTACTTGGGAGGCTGGGATCAGGAGATATCACCATTTGAGGCCAGCCTGGGCAAATAGTTTGCAAGACCCCATCTCCAAAATAATCAGGCTAGAGATGTGTCACAAGTGGTAGAGTGCCTGCTTTGCAAGCATGAAATCCTGAGTTTAAACCCCAGTCCACAAAAAAAAAAAAAGAAAAAGAAAGGAAGCACCATGTATTTGAATCTAGGTAATCACGGCATTAAGAACAAAAAAATTGTCGGGTGCCCGTGGCCCAGGCCTGTAATCCTAGCTACTCAGGAGGCAGATATCAGGAGGATTGAGGTTCAAAGCCAGCCCAGGCAGGTATTTCTTGAGATCCTATCTTGAAAAAAATCTATCACAAAAAAGGATTGGTGGAGTGGCTCAAGGTGTAGACCCTGAGTTCAAGCCTAGTACCACAAAAAAGTTGGTAAATACTGAAATTTCCATAGAAATTTTTTAGGTAGAACACTTGAGAGTTCCCTGTAACCTGCTTGTGTGTTGAGTCTGTTAAAACTCAATGAGAAATTAACAATTCTGGGTTAACGTTTTTCTTTTTCTTTTCTTTCTTTTTTTTTTTGGATGGAATTGAGAGGTTTTTCTCTCTAAGGGAAGGAATTGTCTGTTTTTTAAATACCTAGTAAGAAGCTGAGAGGTCATTTGGTTGCAAAACTTCATATTGGTTAGGACACAAAAGCAAAATTAAAGCAATATTAATATTAACAAATTAGCATTAATATTAAATCATGTGTTTATAAAATTTTTATTGTATCAATATTGAAAAATTAGTGGGATAATCTTAAATTTTAGTTTCCTCATTGTGTTAGCTTTCTGTCACTATAATAAGTTTCTGACATAATCAATTTATAAAGAAGAAAGGTTTATTGTGGCTCACAGTTTTTGAGATTTCAATCCATTATTAGTTGGCTCCATTGCTTTGAGCCTATGGTGGTGGCATGTCATGGCAAGAGTACATGACAGGGCAAAACTAATTACCTCATGGCTAGGAGAGATCCAAGTCTCACAGTCTCCTTGAAGGGCACGTCCCCAGTGACCTGAAAACATATCACTAGGTCATTCCTTCTCAAAGTGCCAAACTCTGGGAACCAAGCCTTTACCATGTGGACCTTTGGGAAGCACTTTTCCAAACCACAGCACCAATTATTGAAACGTTTTCTCACATTTACAAATACTAAGGTGGTTTAAAGGACTTAAAAGTATAGCCGAGTGCCTGTGGCTTATGCCTGTGATCCTAGCTACTTAGAGGTTGAGGTTGGGAAGGTTACAGCTCAAGGCCAGCCTTGGCAAATAGTTCGTGAGACCACTATCTCCAAAGTAACCATGAACTGGAGGCGTGACTCCAGAGGCAGAGCACCTGTTTTGCAAGTCTGAATCTCCAAGTTCATATTTTTACTTTTAAGAGTTTATTGTATCCAGTTCCAGGAAAAGTAGAAATACTGGAAGTTAGAAGGAGGGACGCAAAAAACTTGATGCAAGTAACTTCTACATGTGTTTTGTTTAGAAAATAATTGTGAAAGTAGCTGAATTTGCCTTGATAAAAATCTTTAAGAAATACATTTGTAATTTTTTTCACAAAATAATGTTTCTCCCTACTTCCAGAATAACCCATAACAAAATATTCTTCCATTGGTTATGACGTATTTTCTTTGCTTAAAATAATTCTCCGGGCACTGTGGCTCCCACCTGCAATCCTAGCTACTCGGGGCAGAGTTGAGGAGGACCATGGTTCAAAGCCAGTCCGGCAGATACTTATGCAAGACCCTATCTCGAAAAAACCCTTCATAGAAGAGGGCTAGCGGAGTTGCTCAAGATGTAGGCCCAGACTTGAAGCCCCAATACTGCAAAAAAATAATAATAATTCAAAGTGTTAAACAGTTTGTTTCATTTTAGTAGTTCCAACAAAAAAATGCAACAGCCAGGGGCATGACTCAAATAAAGGGTCTGTCTAGCAAACGTGAGGCCCTGAGTTCAAACTCTGGTACTGCCTTAAAAGTTTTTTTTTAATGGAATATACATGATTATAGAATAATGAATCCCATTAAATTGTTAAAAGGAAAAAGGGGGTGGGAATAAGAACAAATAGGATGAATTTGATCGAAGTACATTGTGTGCATGTGTGGAAATATCATAATGAAAACCCTTTGTACAATTAATATGCACTAACATAAAAGAAAAAATGGCTGAGCATAGTGACTCAAGCCTGTAATCCTAGCTACTTGAGAAGTGAAGATTTGGAGGATTGTAGTCTGTGCTAGCCCCAACGGAAAGTGAGACCTTCTGTCAAAAAATAACCAATGAAAAAGAGTTGTAGACTTGGCTCCAGTAGAAGAGAGCCTGCCTAGGAAACTCAAGGCCCTGCATTCAACCTCTAGTACCACCAAAATAAAAGAGAAAATGTTAATGCAGCCAAACAAATTAGCAGTAGATATTTAGCTGCTCTTTGACTGACTTTATCCTACAAATATTATCTACTGATTTTAAGTTGTCTTGCTTCTGATTTTAGGCTTCTGATACTGGAACAGCTTTGAGCAGTATAAAGCACACAAAAGGAGCTCGTCAGCAAGTAGTTCAGTTACATGTTATTTCTTCTGTTTCTAATTTCTTGAAGGTAAATCTGTTTTGTAAAATTCAAATATTTGCTTAATTTTTTAATGGACATGGCTGACTAAGTACATTGGAGGATGATGTTCCTTAAGGGCTTTTTTCCTTCATTTTTCATAATCCTCTGGTGAAATGTCACGCTTTGGAGTACTCCTTTTACTTTTTCTCCATATGAACATGTTAGTCAGAAATTAAACATGTGGTATTGGCTTAGAGCTATGTATTGAACCTAATATCCTAGACCAAGAGATGGATGAACAATGGCCTGTGAGCCAAATCTAGCTCACTATAGCATTTATGACTTACTGTTTCCAAGTAAAATATAATAGTCTTCGTTAGCCACTCACTTTATGGACATCTCTATGAATGTTCTTCTGAACACATTCACACCACAGTGATAATTGATTGCCATATTGTTGTCTGGGGGTAAAATTCTAAAGTGCTTTGTGGAAAAAAAAATCAAATTCATTTGAATGATCAGTATATATTTTTGTGTCCTGATTTTTTTAACAGATGAACATACTTGATTAACCAAAATGTACATTACAAAATAAGTAAGGAATTTGCTACCATTGTAAATTTGGATTTTTCTTTATGTACTTCAGTACCTGGCTGGCTCCAAGGGAAGTTTAGGTGCAGAAGAAATAAGAAGACTTGTCCTGACATTAGTGATGGGAGCCCTAGAAAGTCCAAACCCCCTTTTGAGATGTGCAGCTGCAGAGGCATGGGCTAGATTAGCCCAAGTGGTTGATGATGGAGTTTTTACTGCTGGATTAGCTCAAGTTAGCTTTGATAAGTAAGTAAATTTCCTAATACTCATGGGCTGTATGTCAAGACTGAATAAAGCTTGCCATGTGTTAGAACTAGTAAGAACTTTGTTCTGAGATTTTAACTAAGCAAAGAAAAACAGACAAACATGGGTGCTTTAAAATAAAGAAGACCTCTCCTTGGCTTATTGTTCTTAAATCTAAAATTTCAACTTTAGGTTTTTTTTTGTTTTTTTTTTTTTTTTTTTTTATTGCTGTGTGTGGGACTGAGGTTGATAGTCTTTAAATAATAGAGAACAGTCACTATTACCTGAACGCTCTAAGTGACTGTCAGTGGGTGGATTCTAGAACAGTGAGAATATAGATGATTGTTATAATAACAGTCTATAGGAAGAGGGAAAGCTGCAAATCAGGAAATGTAAACTGCACTTTCATTTTACCAATTCTGTATCTTTGGGTAGTTTCCTTAATTCTTTCAGCCAGTTTTATTTTGAATAAAATAAAGGTAAAAGAGAAAGTTATATGAAAAAACCAAAACAATTTCAAATAAAAGTTCATGGTTATAAAAGTTTATGTAAACAAATAACTTATGTTAGTGATGATAGTAATGGGGATAGCACTTTGACCTTAATTCATACCCCAGCCTTAGCTTTTACTAAGTAGAAAATACTTTAGCTATCATTTTGAAAAAGTTTTCTCATCTACAGAAAGGAACTGATAAAAGTATGAACCACAAGGTTCCTGGGAGGATTAAAGAAGAGCTAAATGTAAATTGTTTAAATTAGCACCCAGATATACAGATATAGGACATTCCTAATATATATTAACTTCTTAATAAATTTACTTATGATATCAAAGTTCTTAAGTTGAAATTTCAAAGTATCTCAGCATGTAAGTTTTTAAAATGCAATTTAATGATAAAGTAGTAATAATGCTTACCTTATAAACTCTGTGTGTGTGTGTGTGTGTGTAAGACATTGGAGGTGGTCATTCTAAATCAATAATACAAAAATCTTTTTATTTAGAATGTTTTCCTTTGCAAGATACTTTTCAGCTTACTTCAGAATTTTTTCACATCACAGTAAATATATTTAACTTTGTGACTATTCTTATTAAAAAATTTTTACCTGCATGACAAAGATACATGCATTAGTTTTTGTTTTTTCAATGCTTGTCATTGATTTTTATTTCCATAATTACAGATTGAAGTCAGCAAGGGATGTGGTTAGCAGAACAGGACACTCATTGGCTTTGGGCTCCCTGCATCGGTATTTAGGAGGAATAGGTTCTTCTCAACACTTGAATTCTTGCATTGGAATTCTCTATGCTTTGTCTCAGGACAGCACCTCTCCTGATGTGCAGGTGAATATCACACTTGATACCTTCCTTGAAATTCATGATTTGTGGATGATGCAGATTGTTTTTACTGACCACTAATAATTGGCTCACAGTAAATTTCAAAGCAACTGTTAACTTTAATGGATTTTCAAATTCAAATCTATCTTCCCCTCACCCTCACAACATCTAATATAGAGAGCTTAATAGGTACCAGATATTAATATTACATACTTCTAAATCTGTTACATAGTTAATCCTCATAGTAACATAGGGTCCCTTAAGGGAAAAACTGAGGCTTATGGAAGTTAAGTAACTTACTCGGTTACTTGCTTGGTACTAAATCATGGAGTCAGGTCATGAACACACATCACATACTTAAAACACATGTACCATATTTTCTGTATTTACCCTTCTGTCAGTAAAATCATCAGTCTCCCAATATCTAAGTCTGGCCTGACTGCTGCTCTCCTTTTACTTTCCTTGTTTCTTTTCCCTTGCATGTGAGTCCATAAGTACTGCAGGAGTCTCTTTCCTAGATATGACCAGATATGTCCAGAAACCTCAATTTTGCCACTTCCCTTCTAAAAAGCTGGGAAAACTGCTTAGCTTGTTTTGTTTTGTGATTAGGTCTCATTACTTAGCCCAGTCTGGCCTAAAATTAAGTCTTTCTGCTTTAGTCCCCTAGTGCTAAGATTACAGGCATTTATCACCACACTTACTGCTTCTTTTTTTTTTTTTGGCAGCGCTGGAGTTTGAACTCAAGGCCTCGAGCTTGCTAGGCACGCATTCTTACCACTTGAGCCACTCCAGAAGCTCAGACCATAACTTACTGTTTCTTTAATCAGCTTCTTATTCCACTCCTATCAGCTGACCCAGGAACAATCTCTGTTACAACCCCAAAGTACTGGCTTCTCCTACAGATGATCTGCCTACTTTTCTTCCACACATGTCATTCTCATGTCTGTGCTTACATTTTTTCCTTTGACTCTTCTCTCTCTCTCTTCCTCATCTGATAATCCAAATTTTTTTAGTATTTTAAAACCCAGTTTAACTATCCCATCACTTCAGCATCCCTAATTGAGTTAGCTTTCTTTCCCTGAATTACTTTTTTTTGGGGGGGGAGGTTGTGGGGAGCAGTAGAGTATTCTACCACTTTAGACACATCCTCAGTTATTTTTCAGACAGGTTTTCCCACTTTTGCCTGGGCCGACTTCAGACTACAATCCTCCTGCCTCCGCCTCATGCATAAATTGGATTTACAGGCATGTTTCACCACACCCAGCTACCCAGCTTGTTCTTTGAGAACAAGGTTGGCCTCAAGCCATGATCTTCCTTTTTCTGCTTCCCAAGTAACTGAGATTACAAACATGAGCCATTATGTCCAGCTACCATATTCTTAATAGTCTGCACATCCATCAATGGAATTAACTTATAAAGTTTCCCATTTTTCACCCATCTTTAAATACAGTACTTTATGTTTCTGTTTTATTTGTCTTCTCCCCTTTCAAGGAGTTCATTGCCATGCACATAGTTTTATATTGAATACCTTTTTTATTGATGAATGTAAATGCCACTATCAGCAAATCTTAGTCATTTTGGGGCCTGAGGTGTTCACCTACAATCCTAGCTGCTTCGGAGGCAGAGATCAGGATGATCGTGGTTCAAAGCCTGCCCAAGCAAATAGTTTGCAAGACCCTATCTCGAGAAAACCCATCACAAAATAGAGCTGCTGGAGTGGCTAACTGGTAGAGCACCTGTGTAGCAATTGTAATGCCTGAATTCAAACCCAGTACTGCAGCAACAGCAAAACAAAAAGCAGTAAAGTATTGTAAGAAATGTACATCCATTGATAAAGGGGATACAACTTTTTCAAGTTATTTTTCTAGTGGGGGATCCTTTTACCTGCTTTGTGTTATGGAACATTGAAACATTCACAAAAATAAAAAGAATATTATGATGAACCTGTGTCACTTAAAATTTAACTTCAGCAGTTTTTAGTGTCAGTTTCATTTCCTTTAAACTGTAGTATATTTTTATGTATAAATAATATTACCCCTGTTGTAAGTGTACCTGTCTGGATAAAATGTATAAACTGAATTACACTGTGTGAAAAGCACCTGGATCAAGAAACAGTACCTAGCCTGGCACCTGTGTCTCACATCTGTAATCTTAGCTACTTGGGAGGCTGGGATTGGGAGGATTGGGGTTGGAGGACAGTCCAGGCAAATAGTTCAAGAGACTCCAGCTCCAAAATAACCAGAGCAAAATAGACTTAGAGGTGTGGCTCAAGTGACAGAGAGCCTGCTTTGTGATCATAAAGCCCTGAGTTCAAACCCAGGTCTCACCAAAAAAAAAAAGACTACTACCTTATCATTACCCCAGACATTTTTGTCATGCTATCTTGTGGTTAACTATCAGCTCCACCAAATTTGTTTGCTACAGCGTAAATATGGTTCATCTTTATATTTTACAATAGTGAAATTGTATGGTATGGCAATTCACGTTTGACCTTCATTATGTTGAAGTGATTTTTTTCCATATTATTACATGTAGTTAACAGATTTTGTTGAATCCTTTTAAAAACTTAAGTTGTCATTACTTATGTAGATTAAACAATAAAGCGTTTTCAACAAACTGAATTGTGTTCAAACTATTAGCTGAAGTATCAAACACTATCTTGTAATTCTTCATTCCACATTCTATTTAAATATATCATTCTAAGTCTGATGATTTTCTCTGAGTCGGTAGTAGGTTTTTAAAGAGAATTTTCTTAAACTCTTAAGTTGTTCTGTTTCTCATTCCAAATTAGTAGTAGCACACATTTACTTTCCTTTGCCATCAGTTGCTTCAGCAAAGTACAATTTCATCTTTCTTAATGCTACTTTAACATTTTTTCATCATTTTCCCGTCTTCACAGACCTGGGCACTGCATTCTCTGTCACTGATAATTGATTCTGCTGGTGTGCTGTATTATGTGCATGTGGAGCCAACCCTTTCTCTCATTATCATGTCATTGTTAAGTGTGCCTCCTACTCATGCTGAGGTTCATCAGAGTCTGGGTCGCTGCTTGAATGCCCTCATCACCATGTTAGGTCCAGAGCTACAAGGTATGTATAGGCTGCTTTTTGTAATTTTATATTAAAAATGTGTGGGTAAAAATGAATTCTGTTGCTAATCTCTATGCTTGGCTCATAGTAGGTACTCGGTAAGTTCTGTTAAATGAATGCCATTCAGCATGATTTCTCTTGCCTTGAGACAAGAGTATCATATTTAGAGAGCTAGGATATGTCCTAAAGATGATTCACTGGTTGTTGAAATGACAGACGTGAAGTAGAGTAGAATCAAGAGCCCTGATCTCTTAAGAAATGACTAGAGTTGAGAGTTCAACAACAAGTTTAGAAGATGCTGCCCAAATGAAAAAGTGGTTCTAGAAAAGCGGAGGAAAAGGGGTGCATCCTCTGGGAGTGACAGTGCTGACAAGAAGGCTCAGGGCCCCAAAGGTGGTGGCAATGCAGTAAAGGTCAGACACGTTTTGTGTGACAAACACAGCAAAATCATGGAAGCCATGGAAAAGTTAAAGTCTGGAATGAGATTCAATGAAGTGGCCACACAACATAGTGAAGATAAAGCCAGGCAAGGGGCAACTTGGGTTGGATGACCAGAGGGTCCATCGTGGGACCATTTCAAGAGCAGCATTTGCCTTGCCTGTAAGTAGGATGGATAAGCCTGTGTTTACAGACCCTCCAGTTCAAACCAAATTTGGATATCATAAAATCATGTGGCTGAATAAAAAAGAAAAAGAAAAAAGAAATGACTAAGTCCAAAATCTCAACTATTTGAATCTGTCCAAATTGCGTAGTATATGATTATAATGCATGTTTTTTTTTTTTTTTTTTTTTGGTACTGGGCCTTGAATTCAGGTCCTTGCTTTTGTTATTCTCAGATGCAGTCTCATGCTTTTATCTGGGGCTGACTTTGGACCATGATCTACCTACTTAACGCCTCCCTCATAGCTGGTATTATAGTTGTTTACTACCATGCCTAGCATATTTATTGAGATATGGTCTCACTGACTTTTTTTTGCCTGGGCTGGCCTCAAATTTCTGTTCTCCTAATCTCTGCCTCCTGAGTAGCCAGGATTACAGGCATGTATCACCATGCCCAGCCCCTGATACTACAAATTTGTGATGTAGAGTCTCCCTGTTTTATGTGTGTATGCACACACTGTGTATTGTACCCAGGGCTTTACACATGCTAAGGACGTGATCTACCACTGACCTGTGGCCACAGCTCCTACTTCTTTTGTAGTAGAAATTTTACTTCACAGATCTTAGGTTTAAAACTGAAAATAAATTTTAACACTTACTAACACATGTTTAAAGACTAATGATTTTATGGGCCAATTATCAAAAGCTTTTGGCTTCTATTTTAGGGAACAATACTTCAGTTTCTACCTTAAGGACTTCTTGTCTTCTGGGTTGTGCAGTGATGCAGGATAACCCAGACTGCCTTGTCCAGGCTCAGGCCATCTCTTGCCTTCAGCAGCTTCATATGTTTGCTCCACGACATGTCAACTTGTCCAGCCTGGTTAACAGCCTCTGTGTGAGTACACAGTTATAAATTAGGCCTTTGTTTCTTTAATTGGAAATTTATATTTATTTCAACTTCATTATTCTCTAGACTATGCACAAAATTATATGTTGTATGATGGCTATTTTCTTTCACTCTGTTTGGGAAATGGGGAGACAGCATTCATATATTTATCTCTACATCTCTCATATATGGATTCATGTTTCTTCCATTGGTGTTGAACTTAATACTTGAAATATTTATTTGCCAGTCAGTCCCAGGTAATGTGTAAGTGCTGTAGGACATGCAGATATTTATGTGATCACTTGTCTTTTTTTTTTTCCTTCTTCCTTTATTCTAATTTATGACACAAAATGTTATTTGCATCTCAGATGGAGAAATAGTAAAAGTTTTCCTTAAATTTTAGCAACATATACTGGGTTCTTACAATGCATCTAACAAATGTAAAAAGATGAAGGCAAGGCCAGGCATGGGGGGGGGGCACATCTGTAATCACAGCACTCAGTGGGCTAAGGCAGGAGGATCACAAGTTCAAGGCCAACCTAAGCTGCATAGCAAGCCCCTGTCTCAGAGTTGAAGGCATTCAACCAGAAGTTGGGATGAAATGGTTCACAAGCTTTGTTTTTAAGATATTCTTCGGCATAATCAATTTGTGTCTGGACTTACCTCAAAATGTGAGTGGCATTTGGGATTATAACTTGACGCAGTGGCTTTTTAACTTTTTCTGCCTGCACAGTTCTCACAGCACACTCCCATTAACAACATGGCAGTTGAAAAGCATTACTTTAGACAGTCTTTTCATTTTCAAACTTGAAACAAAACTTGACAAAACCGCAAAATCTAAAACTCTGTCAGAGAGATTATCCCTGCTTTTGTAGAATGATGTTTGCATCATTGAAACCAATCTTTTTTTTTTTTTTTTTTTTGTAATGGGGTTTGAATGCAGGACCTCATCTTTCTAGGCTAGTGCTAGCCCTTGTTTGTGTTGGGTATTTTTGAGACAGGTTCTCTCTTTTTCTGTCCACACTGGCCTTGGACCACAGTCCTCCTCATCTCTGCCTCCCAAGTAGTAGGATTACAGGTGTGAGCCACTGGCACCTAGCAAGACCAGTCTCAATATAAAGATAACCTGAGGACCACGACGTGAAATAACTTGCCGTAGGTAGCATGTCTAAGTAGTGGCAGCTGACTCTTAAGTCTAGAATCCAAGTTTCTGGGTGCCTCATCCAGTCATCATTTTGTTATTTTATAGCCTTTATAGATTTTATGCCTAAATTATATCCCAGTCTTGTCACTTCCTAGCTACATATAGCTATGTAGCTGTATGGAAGGCCCATAACCTCTTCCACACTAGCTGCTTACTTTGTTAAACAGGAGAATGACATAAGATGCTGTGTATAAAAGCAGGTGTCCCAGTCTTTTAATTAGCACTTGACAATAGCAGTTAGTTTTATTGTCATGACAATAAACAATTCATTGTACTAATTATTGATACTAACAGTCATATAAAACTAAAAAAAAATGATGTTACTGACTTTTCTGACAGAAACTTTTGTTCCTTTACTGTTTAGAGTATGAACCAGTTGTGTTAGGGAAAGTAGTATGTATAGAAAAAGAACAAATTTATTGAGAAGTAAAGAGAGAGACTAATTCATGATGGAAAAGATCTATCAGGATCATTATCTTTTTTCCTTCCCCATTGCAAAAAAAGATTACATGTAAAAGGCAATTGATACCATCATATTAGGAGATTTTTCTTTTGCATGGATACATTGAGCAGTTGAGAAAGTCTGCACTAACAGTTACAAATCTTACGTTGCTTGTAATATTGAGCAGTTTTTCTTACAGAAATCATATATTCAGAAACTACCACTATACTATGTTAATTTTGTCTCATTTTGGTTAATAATTTATTCTAAATTTAGTAGATTGAAATTATTATATTTCACAGCATTTCTGAAGTAAGGAAGTTGCATTTCATCATTAAACACGAATCAGACTATAAAGGTTTCCTTCTAACTGCATGCTGTTTAACTTCTAGTCTGCACTTGGCCTTAGCTACACTAGCAATTCTGAGTACTCTCACTTTTAAAACTTAGCTTCCAAGAGTTATAAATAAATAATAAATAAATATCTATAATTAACTTATGATGAGGTAAACCCCTAACTTTGTCTCCTTCTGGACACCTGTTTGTGTGAGTGAAATCCAAATCATTCCTCACAGAGATGTCTACTTGATTTTATTTCAATTCTGAGACTTAATTAGATTCCAAAGGAAAACCTCATTACTCAAATGTGCATTATTAAATTCTGGTGCATTTTATACATTTATGTCTTGGAATTCTTGAGTTGACTGTTTTCATGATCTTAGCTCAACTCATGTTTTATTAAGTTGGAAAATAAAGTATTTGTGTCACATTTTTAAACTGAAGCTAAGCAAATTTGAATAACTGTCAGCATTTATACTTTAATGCTTAGCTGACTGTTGTCAAAGTCATCCTAGTATTTATCTTTTGGTTTTGTTATGACCATTTTATCATTTGTTTTTGTGCAGGAGATCTTGTTGGATAATTCTGTGTTGGTAGGTCCCTGACCCTTAATTCTAACTTTTTTGAGGTTTGCAGTGCTATTTCCTTGTGTCGTTTTTGGTTATAGATGCTCTTGTTTTCCTCTGCATCTCTGTGTTTAAACTAACCAGTAATGCAAAGTCCAGTATGTATGGCATGTTACATGATGTTTAATATCAGTATAAGCAAATCCTTCCTAATCTCCAACTGGTATACTCATTCCTTGCACTAAATTTTGCATCATTTTGATTTAATATATTCATTTTAGAAAGGAATTGCAGTTGGGAGTTTGATTTCTGTATTTTGCCTGCTTTGTTTGCCTTAACCTCCTATTCCTTTTCCCAGTTGAAATGCTGGAGAATGACATGGACATATTAAGCCTCCCATTTTGCTTTATGTGACAACCTTCAAGCTCTTTTCTACCAAACAAAGAGTACTTCTAAGCATGCTTTTTTTTTAAGATTGTTTGACCAGCCTGAAAAATGCTGCACCTGCCTTGTATTATATGCTTGTAAACCTCCAGTTAAAATTGCTAGTAGCTTCATTAACTTTTCTTTAAAAATTATTGTATAAAGTACCTTTTTATCATTGTTGTTAAATAAAGCAGTAATCTTGGGCATGAGTAAGCTTAATCTCACTTTTATTTTAACTTCTGTTATTCTTGTACTAGTTTCTAACAACAGAAATTCCTACACACGAGTGGCATGACAGTGCCTGGAGACATTTGTGAATGACATTCTTCTCCTTCCAGTTTTGTGTTTATGGTATAGCTTGAGGGAATAATAGAACATACTTGCAAAGCAGTTCTCATCTGTATGTTTCACTTTTCAACCAATTTTTTCTGGGATTTTTTTGGTGTATAATAATATTTAGGATTCAGCTGTCTTTGCATGTATTTTCTTCTTCTACATTGAAAACTAGAATTTAGCCTCTGCTCTTTACAACAAACTCATCTACTTCGGTCCTGTTTGTCCCACATATTCCAGATCAACATAAGATCACTGTCACAACTGTGCTATTATTTGTCAAAATTTGCTTTGAACATTGCTGTCATCAGATACATATTGGGCTGAGGTGTAGCTCAGTGGTAGAACATATGCTTAACATGTGTGAGGCACTGGGTTGAATATCCAGCACTGAAAAAGTATGCATTCGTTGTTACAGACCTCACCAAAACTGATCTTTCCTGATTAGAAGAAAATAAATTTTAAATCTCTAAACTTGATATCACTTATGAAGCTATTGAGTAAGAATTTGTACCCAGGAGCCCAGGCATGATGATATATGCCTATAATCCCAGCACTCTGGAAACTGAGGAAGAGAGATCATGAAGTTTGAGGCTGGCCTGGGCTGCGTAATTGATTATTTTAGGTACATCACCAAGCTTATCTCTTCCCATATGTAGACACATCCTAGTGAGATTTACTTAGTAGCTCTGTGATAGTGCATATGTATTTCTATATATACCTATACATATATGTAAAATTTGCTATTCTGTAGTGTCTCTAAAGAGCATTTTTGTCAGTATGTTTTCTGAGTAAACCTACCTTTATTTGGAAATGCCTTTACTTACTCTGTATGTCTTCTGAATGAAATACTACTGTTAGTGACTACATTAATAATAACTGACATTTATTGAGCACTATCATTTGCCAGCTTCCATAGTAAGCACTTTGCATGTTACTTCATGTTAACCTCACAATAGCCCTGTGAGATGGCCTAATGTTATAAGTAAGGAAACTAAGCCACAGAGAGTTTAAAGAACTTGCCCAAGGTCACACAGCTAGCAAGTGGTGGCTCTGGGACTCAAACTGAGACAGTTTGACTCCAGAACCTCCAGTTAGTTTAATCAGTGTGCTATGCTGCCTAAGTTGCTATGTTTGTATGTGTTTCTTAGAGGATCATGAGTATTAAAATAGTGTTGCATGAGCACAAATGTGTAAATCCTTTCAATTGTGTTTCTTATTTTTACTTAAATGAATTCTGTCTTCTAACACAGTCACGAGGCTTTTGCTTGGATTTATGTATGAATAATGCATAACTTAGTACATGTATTAGTCCTTAAGCTGTTTCTAAGTTATATAATCATAAATATATACTAGAATAATTTTAAGAAGTTTCTTTGATAAATTATGGTCAGCCCACTGAGGGCTGGACAGAATCCAGAGAAAGCCCAGTGACTATGTATGAACCTTTCTTAGTTTTACCAGGAGTTTGAGCTATTTCATTCCCTAAATGGAATTTTTCAGGTGAATCTTTGTAGTCCCTACTTGTTACTGAGAAGAGCAGTTCTGGCTTGTTTACGTCAGCTTGTACAGAGGGAAGCAGCTGAAGTTTCAGAACATGCTGTTTTGCTTGCAAAGGGTAACAGAGAAGAGTTGACTCCAGGTAATTCCATATGTCCAGCTCAAGTGAACGCCATAATATAATATTTTCCATGTATACATTAGTTTTAAAATGCAATCTAAAAGATAGTGCATAATGTCTCAAATCTGCTGCAAGAAGCAATTGCTAACAATTACCATTTCATTAGTGATATTAGTGGTCTAGAACAATGCTTCTCAAACTGAAGCCTCAACCCAGCAGCCTCTACATCATGTGGGAGTTGCTCAAAGTGCAGATGGCTGGGCCCCATCCCAGGCCTTCTGTAGCAGAATCTGGGGGTAAGAGCCCCACAATCTGGATTTTGTTTTGTTTTGTTATGGTCCAATTTTTGCAGTCCTTCTATGAGTACTAAAATTTGAAGCTGAGCATGTTGGCTCACAACTGTAATCCCAGACACCTGGGAGACAGAAATTGGGAAGATCATGGTTAACATGACCCCCCCCATCTTAACTAACAGGCCATATGTGGTGACATGTGCCTGTAATCCCAGCTATGCAAGAGATATAGATAGCAGGATCATGGTCTGAGACTGCCCCTAGGCAAAAATGTGAGCCCCTATCCTAAATATAACTAAAGAGAAAAAGAACTGGGTCATGTCTCAAGTGTTAGGGCTCCTGCCTTGAGTTCAAACCCCAGTACAAGGAAAAAGGTCGGGGCAAGTGGGGTGGGGAAAACCAGTACTGCCGGAAAAAAAAGTTTGAGAGCCATTAATTTGCAGCAAGTTTTGTTCATAGTGGTTAATTGAAATTGGATTTAGTCTTTAAGAAATTTATGTTTCCCCTTCCTCAACATACCATTTTAATAAAATTTACTATAGGTGAGTCTACTACAAATTGAAGGATTTTCTGCCACTTTAGAGCTGAGTTAAAATATTTTGTAATCAGTAAGAGTTGCTTTAATTATATGTCCCTTTATTTTATATTATTTTATTTATACTAACTTTTCACAGTACTGGGGATTGAACCCAGGGCCTCAGGTTTGCTAGGCAAATGGTCTACCAATGAGCCACATATCCCTAGCCCATATCCCTTTATTTTAAAAACTATGATTTGAGTAACTCAAACATGCATATAAATTAAAATAAACCATTAGCATATAATAGTAATAATGTCTTACACTTGTATGTGTATAGTTCCAATAGCACTGTCACGCTTTTAGAAAGTCATAGATTTCACAAAGCTTTTGAACATCTTGAAGCTTTCAGCTCTATAATATACTTTACTGTCAGTAGTCTGTGCTGTTTAGAGTATAGTTTTATTATTATATTAAAACTTCTGTGTTGACTTGTTTTTATCAGCATGGCTGGATTGATATAATAGTCATCTAACAATGTCAGACATTCTCCACAAAGGAACCTTCATTTTCTATCTGTTGCTTTAGGTTTTCATGGTATAAACATGTTCAGAGAAATACTAAATTAGCTGTGAGTAAAACTATAGTAAAGAACTGTTGTGATACTCCTTTTTTAAAATTTTGTAATTTTCCCAATCCCGTAGGAAAGTTTAAAGAACCATACAGTGAACACATAGATTCACCTAGTCAACATCCTTGTGACACTTGCTTCATGTGTCTTTTTCTCCACACACACACACACACAAACATGCACACACAAGTTTCTTGCCAAGTCATTTCAAAGTAGGCTGTAGACCTGACAGTTCACCCCTAAATGCCTCAGTTTGCATTTCCAAAAAATAAGGACATTCTACAAAGTCACACACGACATGTAAAAAAATCAGCGTTGATTTGGTAGCATCATAGATTTTACAGTCTTTAGATTTCTCCTGTTATTATAAAAAATAATGGCTGTATGGCGTCTTCCTACACCCTTGCCCTCACCCAAGTCTAGGATCCAGTCATTATTCATAACGGTGCATTAGACTACACCCTTCTAGACTGCTAATGTAAAACACTTCTATATCTCCTTCTGGTCTTTATAAGATAATTCTACTTTTTCAATAATATAAATTATTTAATAAATACTAGATGAGTTAACCTCCCTCTAAAATTATTTCATTAGCATATTATAGTTGTACAGGGGGATATCTTATGGTTCTTATATATGTGCTTGCAATACATCTTAGTTAGATTCTCCCTCCTCAGCAGGTTTCATTCTTCTGTTTTCTAGATGAGTTAAATCTTGAAAACAAGTTTTTAGCATTTTCATAATTAAAGGAAATAGATGTTAGACCAAAGCTTTTATTTCTCCTTTGAGATGTTTTATTACTTTCTAGTGAGAATATAGAACAGTGATTTATGTTAATTTAATAGTTCACAATAACTTAGTTGTAGTAATTAAACACTTTTCTCCATGCAGTGGTGGTTTTCTGTTCTGCTTTTAGTCTTATGTTAAAAAAAACTTTAGAGAAAAAATTAAAGAATCATATCAAAAAACAATGGCTATTTACCTAACAAGACATTAATAACTCTTAAAGACTTATTCAGTGACAAAGATCATAAAAATCCCAAAGTTCAACTGTGAGCTAAAATCAGTCTCAGTAAATTAAGGCAAAATGTTTAGGCTGAGTTCTTTAAATATATTTATATGTAATATTTAACTATCACTGAATGTGTGTGCTTCTCATGTCAGTTTTGTTTTCTGTATTACTTAGATCATCGGTTTTCTTGTTGTCAGATGCCAACATCAGAGAAGTGGGCCTTGAAGGGGCATTATTGACCTTACTAGACAAAGAGACAGATCAGAGATTATGCCATGATATCAAAGAGACTTTAAATCACATGCTTACATCTATGGCAGTGGAAAAACTCTCCCTTTGGTTAAAACTTTGTAAAGATGTGCTTGCTGCATCAGCTGGTAAGTACTGGTGATTACCAGTTAAAATAATAAAACTGAAAGTAAAAATCTTAAAATAGATTTTTGTTTAAAAATCTTATCTGTTTAAATTTTAATTGTGTGGTCTTTGCATTCTTCAAATGACAATTCTATGCTAGCATTTAAAAGAATTCTCTGATTTGAACAATATAAATCTAACACTTAAGGCTACTTTTTGCTCCTTTTTTGATTGTATTAAATAACTTTCCTGTATCATACAAACTAAAAAGTAGAGTTATTTGTGCTATGAAAAATATAACCTAATTTATAGTAGCCTCATTATGTCTTTTCATATATACTAAACATTTAAGAGATCTCCTGCCTATCAACAAATACTGAAGAGAACTTACTGATGTTGATATTTGAACAAGCTAGTTTCTCACATTTAAGAATGTTAATTTTAAATAGTATTAGAAAATAGTGCTATTTCTCTAATGTCTTTGCTAATAAAAGATAATTGCTTGTAAGAATCTGCATTTGAGTTTTTTAAAATGTGCATCCTTATGTAAGAGAGAAAACAAATGAGATGAAAAGATAGAAACAAATACTGTTCCAGGAACTGTATCTATTTTTTCTGATTTAATTCTTAAACCCATCTTGTGAATAGGCAGTATTCCATTTTATAGAAGAGAAAATGGTTTGGAGAGGTAAATAACTGCTTAAAGACACAGATTCAAGCCTAAGTCTGCATAACTTTAAAATCCATGAATTTTCCACTATGTTTTAGTAGCTCCCAATTTAGTTATTCAAGCCTTATAATTTCATGTAGTTCTTATGTGTGAATTACATAACAGGAAAAAAGGGACATAAAATTCATGTCTTTCAGAGGCTTATACCTGTCCTTTCAACCATAGGCTCTATATGTTTCTCCTCTTTAATGCTCTCTTCTATATACTGCTGTCTACTACTAAAGTCCTTTTTGTTGTTGTTGTATTGGGGGCTACTACTTAAGTCTTAACTTAAGTTTTAACCAGTGTTAAAATAAACCTAGCACCACCAACAACAAAAAAATCACTAGTGCACCCCACTCATCAATTTAGTGGAGAATTTTGACCTTTCTTAAGTACAGCCATCTGCATGCAGGAGATTGGTAAATTCAAGTATCTAGTATTGTGTTTGGTTTTTCACTTTGGATATAACTTAACAACTTTGTCATTTTGACCTGGACCCTGTCTCCTAGCATTTTCTTTACATAACACTGTTACTTGTAGTTGTGATACCTGATTATTTGGTGTTAAAGATATGATTGATCAATACCAATTCTAGTCTGCATTTGAAGTCATTTTTTGTAAACCTTTGTAAAACTCTTTCAGTTAATTGTAATAACATGTGTTCTCCCTTGACAAAAGATTTTACAGCTGTGATTTCTGTGGACACAATGCAAGAGGAAGAAGGCGATAAAGGTGATGATGCATCAGTCCTGACTACCAGAAATGTTGAGAAATCACACCCTTTTACCAATCCCCGGTGGGCTACCAGGGTCTTTGCTGCTGAATGTGTCTGTAGGATAATTAACCAATGTGAGAATGCAAACAGTGCACATTTTGACCTTGCTTTAGCACAAGAAATGAAAAAAAGAGATTCAAGAAGTAAGTGGCATGGTAATGTAAAGACCAAATGATATAAGTAGAAATGCTGTCTGCTTATGATTTGTATATTAATTTTAAAAGTAAAACTAAAAAGTTATTTTTATAAATCAGTTATGAAACTTCATCATTGATCCTAATGTTTATATAAGCTATCAGTTACTACACTTTTAATGTTTAAATATATATTCAATAGTGAAGTTTTAAAATTTGCATTCGCTTTTATATAAAGGGCATGTGCAAGTAGCTAGTTCACAAAATTTGGTTTTTTTATTTGTAATTTTTACCAATTTTTATATTTATTTTGGTGTCATAGATGTGTTTATGTTTGATGTCTAATCTTTAAAATTCACATAAGGACATGTTCAAAGACAGTGCACATTACTAAGTCCACAGAAATATTCTTTATCAGACAAAATGATTACAAAGCAAAATGTTGCTATTGCCAGTCTGAGTGTGACTTAGGTATCTCTGATTTAGTTAATTTTCAAGGCAGCATTTATTAAGACTCTTACTTGGGATGAATACTATGCAAGATACTTTTGAGTATAAAATTAGTATACCATAGATATTTTCTGATTCTAATGCTCCTTGTACTTGGCACTTACTAAGATATGGTAGTGTGAACTATATAGCTCTATTCTTTGAATCAGTCTCACATCCTCTAAATAAATGTTAGCTGTGTTTTAAACATTATTAGAACAGTGTTAAATGGTTTTCTTGCATCTCAGAATTTTTATACCAAAGAATGTGTCATAGGGATGAAAGGAATTGTCACTTACCGTTTCTGTAGCTAGAGATGTTTTTTACATGACCATCATTTGTATGTTTGGCAGTACGTGCAAAAAAAAGACAACCTCATGAACCATCTTTTTAAAGGAACATTAAGAGCTAGGCATTGGCTCATGCCTGTAATCCAGCTGCTCAGAAGGCAGAGATCGGGAGGATTGTGGCTTGAGGCCAGTCCAGGGGGTAAAATTAGCAAGACCCTCAGTAAGCCAGGCGTGGTGACATGCATCTGTAACCCCAGCTATCTAGGCATAGCATAGGAAAATCACTGTTCAGGCCAGCCCTGGGAAAAAACACAAGTCCCTGTCAGAAAAATAACTTTAAAGGCGAAGGGGCTAGGCTGGATTTTATGACTGAAGTGGTAGAGCACCTACTTAGCAAGTATGAGGCCTGAGTTCAGACCCTGATACTGACAAAAAAAATAGTAATAACAAAGGAACATTAAGTCTCTTAGTGTCAACTTGACATAAAAAACATAAACTATTGTCTAATTCATCAAAGGCGAGGGTCTGCTTACTGATTAATGTACTTTTATCAGAAAATCTGAACAAAATATTAGACAGACTGTAGAAGGCTGTCATGAGACCCTGAGTTCAAACCCTAATACCACCAAAAAAAAAAAAAAATCACAATACATTACAAAAACAAAAAAAAGACTATTAGCACTTTTAAAGGAAGCTAATTCTGACCTTGGCTTTTGAATACCTTTATATAATTATTTGGTTTCTGATAGTGTTGTGTGTGTGTGTGTATTTGTCATTAAATTTAGCCTTAACGTCTAGGATTTATATGTATGTGTGTTTTGTTTTCTGGTTCTGAGGCTTTTTTTGAGATACAGTCTTACTATGTAGCCCAGGTTGGCATAGAACTCACCATCATCCTGCCTCATCTTGCCAAGTACTGGGATTATAGGCATGTATCACCATGCCCTGCTTAAAGTCTGTGTTTAACACAGGGTAAGACCAAAACAGTAAATCAAATCAAATCATAACTAAAAGAAATTAAAGGAAGAGAAATTATCTTTTAACATAAATCTTGATATTCTTTTTCTTGACAAGGCATTTCTTAATCTTGTAGATGACTTTTTGGTGCTCCATCTTGCTGATTTAATTCGCATGGCTTTTATGGCTGCCACAGATCATAGTGACCAGCTCCGTCTTTCTGGTCTTGAAACACTATTAGTTATTATTCGGCACTTTGCAACTATTCCGGAACCAGAGTTTCCAGGTCATGTGATCCTGGAACAGTATCAAGCCAATGTAAGCATTTTCTAATAGAATTTTTTTAAATTAAACAATACTGATAAAAAGGTTAATGAAACCATTTGGCCTCTCACGTCTTAATTCATAAGGGATAGCTCTTCTAACATATCACCAGTATCATCAGTACACAGAAAATATGTATATTAGTAGAAGAAATCTGAAAGCTAATGTTTTATAAAGCTCTAAGAAAAAGCAAAATATTATATAAAGCGAGTCTTTTATAGTTTAAGGCTTAATTTTCATAATTTCTTGCTAACAAAGAACTTTAGTAGAGAGGTATTTTACAAAATTTCTGACTAAGCAACATAACACTAAATAATCTGTCCAGCATACATTTATATTTTATTTTCATTATTGCTAGAATGGAAATGTTACGTGTAACCTCCTTCACTAATTTCTTCTAGACCTAGGGAAAGATTTAGGATTTAGGTTCTGTTACTGGTTCTGAAACCTTTTTAACTGATTGTGTTTGACTGGCTCATTGAGCAATACAAGAAGAGTAAGGAAAATAACAGAATCATCACCTGTCTTGTATCTGTTCAAGGATACCTTATGGTTCAGAGGCAGCCTTTAATGGCCAGCAATTAGGGAGAGCCTCTAAAACAGTTCACCAGTTGGTTAATGTTCTCCATCACTTCTTTCAACAGGTAACACCAACGTGTGCTTAGGAAGAAAGCAAAAGAAAGGGATGAAGTTACATAGAATTATCCCACTAGAATAAAATATTGTAATTCATCTCAATTAAGGAGAGTCCTATATTTTTAGCCCTCTCAGAATGACAGATGCTAGAAATTCAACTCACTTAGGCAGAAAAAGGGAGATTATTGTCAAAAATCTCTTAGTTGTCTCTGCTTTCTTTATACTGGGTTTATTCTGAAGCTTACTTTCTCCAAGTAATAACAAGATAGCTCTCTCAGAGACAGTGGTACTTTCAGCCAAAGTCAGCTTCTTGGTATCCCAAAGTCTGTCTCTGGAGCTAAGCAATACTGTCAGCTCCAAAGGAACCACATGGACTAAGACAGAAAATGATTTCCCAACGGAAAAACTGGGATTCCCTTATCTGAAAATAAGGGAAGGTGTTCAGGATAAGCAAACACAACAGGTGCCCATGATAACTATTCTGAATAAATAATTTTAAAGCAATGTTAAAAATGTCTCTTACTGATCTTTGATATCCTATAATTTTTTGTCAGGTAGGAGCAGCACTTAGGCCAGCCTTCACTTCAGACACACCACCTGATGTCATTGCTAAAGCATGCCAGGTCAGTCGTTAATAAGACAAAGCTTAAAAAGCAATCTAAAGAAGCAATTCAGTTTGTATTTGATACCAAGTTTCTTCCTTATAGATGCTTTATCATCAATCTCAGCTTACTCTTACTCTTTCCTTTTGAAATTTTTCTTTTTAAATTCTTTCCTTCTTTATAACTGCATGCAAGATCCTATTTGAAAAATAACTAGAACATAAAGGGCTCCACTCAAGTGACAGACTGCCTGCCCAGCAAGCATAGAAGTCCTAAGTTCAAACCCTAGTACTTCCAAAAGAGATAGAGAAATACCATGGTGCCTAGAAAAAATATGTCTGGTTATTGAACAGACTTTTTGCATTGCAGAATTATTAATAGTGTTTTGTTTTAAAAATTAAAAATATACTGCCTAGAAGTATATATACTGGCTGAAAGTGTGGACCAAGTGGTAGAGCGCCTGCCTAGCGAGCACGACACCCTGAGTGCCACAAAAAAAAAAAATTTTTTCATTCTTTTGATGACTGTGTGTGTATATTTGGAGGTACCAAAGGATGAACTCAGGACCTCATGCTTGCTAGGCAGTTTCTCTACCGCTTGAGCCATGCCTCCAGCCCCAAGAACCAAAATCTTCATTGGAGGCTGGGGATACAGCTCAGTGGTAGAGCACTTGCCTAGCATGTACAAAAGTCTAGATTCAATTCCCAGCACCGCCCAAAAAAAAAAAATCATTGGCGTTTTAAATATTAAGTACTTTTATCTTTTAATGTTATATGACTTCTAATTTTAAATAAAAAGGTGAAATAATCAGTATAGCATCATATCCATATTAATAACATCTCACACTCTTTAGTTTTTATACTAAACAGCACTAGTTTCCTTACTTCAACCTTAGTTTTCATTCCCTTTTGAAATGCTGGCTTTTGACCGTCCTTATCAAGCGCTTTCCTGTGGGTTCTTGGTAGTGAGATGGTCTCATTGACTAAATGCCAGAGATGGGTGAACTCTGTCAAACTCACAAAGGACCTAAGTACAATTTTTAAATTAACTTTTGATTTTCTTAAAAACCAGGTTTGCAGTGCTTGGATAGCAAGTGGAGTTGTGAGTGACCTTAATGACCTCCGAAGAGTTCATCAGTTGCTTGTTTCATCATTAACAAAAATACAGGCTGGAAAAGAGGCATTAAGTCACTTATATAATGAAAGTGCTTCTACCATGGAGATCTTAGCTGTGCTAAAAGCCTGGGCAGAGGTGGGTACTTTTTAATTAATAACTGAAATTATAGAGTTGTTACTAAACAATGTTAGGTCACAAACTGAAATTAACTAAGATACAGAAAGTCATGTATGTTGCTGGCACCTGAAACCAGGGCCTTGCTCATGGTAAGACAGATGTTCTCCTATTGCACTACATCTCTTACCGTTAGTTTGTTTTTGTTGCTTTTGTTTATTATTAAAATTGTAAATTTAATCGTACCATAGCGTCCATCCAGCTGCCTTTCAAAGGTTAAGCTGCCTGCTTGCTGCTGCCATACAACCCTTGCAGTTTGCAGGATAGCAATGTGTCTACCTGTCCGCATCTTTCCAACTGTGAATTTTATGTTGGAGGTGCACTCACAACCATGTTCAATCTTGAATTTTTTTTTTTTTTTTTCAGCACTGGGGTTTGCTAAACAGGTACTCTTACTACTTGAGCCATTCCTGCCAGCCCTTTGTTTTTTTTTTGCAATAGGATCTCATAAACTATTTGTCTGGGGCTGACTTTGAACTGTGATCCTCCTGATTTCTACCTGAGTAGCTAGGATTACGGGCATGAGCCACTGGCACCTGGCTTCAATGTTGAATTCTTAACCCTTTGCATTTCATCTTCTGGTTATATAGCGCCCATGTGCCCATGGTGAGGTTAGTTTGTTCTTTAGTACCTCAGATTTCACAATTCTTTGGCATATAACTATCTGTAAGGTGCTACAGAAGCCACTTTGCATCCCTACTCAGCACAAATTCTTACTCAAGGCAACTCCTAACCCCAAAAAGGCCAGCCCTTGGTTTTTTGAGGCAGAATCTCACTATGTAGCTCAGGCTGGCCTTGAATTCTGTGTATCCCAGCTTATATTGAATTCATAATCCTCTTGCCTCCAACCCTTCAGAGTGCTGAGACCACAGGCTGTACCACCATGCCATGCAGTTAATTTTTTTTTTTTTTTGTACTAGGGGTTGAATTTAGGGCTTTGCACTTTCTAGGCAGGCACTCTACCATTTGAGCCATTCCACCAATCCTGTGTAAGTCCATTTTTAAGGTAAATAATAGACTTCCAACATGAGACTTATTTGTTACTTGACATACTGGCTAAGCAGTCTAGAAAGTCCTTATTGTCTATCCACTGCTTAAGCAGGGGCAGTCATGAACCAAAGAGGTTTTATAACAGCCAGTGAAAATCAATTTTTTTGAAATAAATTCTTAGCTATATGTATCTACTTATATACTCTATCAACTATAACAAATACCTTATTGGTTTTTTTTAATGCTCTTTCCTAGAATGACTTATATATTAAATAGTGCTCATTTTCTTAGAATAAATAATTCCTTTTTTTTTTCCTGGTTGTACTGGAGTTTGAACTTAGGGCTTCATGCTTATGAAGCAGGCACTCTACCACTTGAGCCACACCTCCAGTCCTTATGCATAATTTTCTTTTTTTTTTTTTGCAGCGCTAGTTTGTACCCAGGGGCTACACGCTTGCTAGGCAGGTGATCTACCACTTGAGCCACTCCATCAGCTCCCCTTATGCATAATTTTAATGAAAGTATATAGCAGCTAAGAGAATTAACATGTACAGAAGGGTTTCGTTCAGTAGAGCTATTTTAAACCCACATGTTGTGTAATTTCTACATCTGTCATTATTTAGGGTTGGCAAACATTGGTTAGGAAATGGTTCTATCTGAATTTAATAAACTGGATCAAATTATCTTTAACACACTTTGTCGCTTTAAAACATCTTATTGGAACAAATTCTATAACATATCTTACAACTAACTCTAGTCACATGTCCTTATTTATGGTGATTTAAATCTCCATGTTTTTGATCAAAGTCATTACCACCTCTTAGTCTTGTCTCAGTCAGTAAATAATGAGTGGCCAACATTCTGTGTAATTGAGGTCCATCCCTTTTCTGAAATCCTTGGAACCAGATATATTTGGAATTCAGAAATAGGGGGATTTTAGAAAAGTAATACAGTTCATATTCTATGTATCCATCCAGGAAGTCTAGGAGAATACCATACACTATAATCAAACTAGTAAATCTATAGTTAAATATCTGAATACTCATATTGTATTATAGAGAGACTAGAAATAAGTTCAGTTTTGTCACTGGTTTATCACAAACTTAAATTTTTCAGAGGGCTTTTTTGTTTTGGATTTTAGAGTTGTAGATAAAGTGGTACATGTTACATACTATGTTCTGTAGTCCACAAGTCTATTTATGTAAACTTTTTATAGTGACTTAGTGGTAGATTTTGATATATATTTTCAGTATCAGCTTATTGCAGTTCAGAAATGGCTGCGTATATCTGAATGTTGAGATGGATTATTAGGCCTTAACCTAAAGAATGCTGTGATCAGTAATTGGGTTGTTAAAGTGCAAAGTGGCAGTATATTTCCCAGGTGTTTGCTATCCCTGATGCATCTCATTAAAGATGATATTTTTGGAACTTTCTACCCTGGTTTGGAATGTGTGGTTACACATGTGTGTATTCTTCCTATAACAATGCATTTCAAGCTCACTGTGCTCAAAGGTTAAGTCTGCCTCTTCAGAAAATGTAAACATGTTATGGTACCTTTTCATCAAAGATTTTCCTACTTATAAATTAAAACAGGTCTACATAATTGCTGTACAAAGACATAAAAAACACAAACAAATTTCAAAAACTAACACCTGCTCGGAAGAAAGTGTCAGAAATGGATCACATTCATCAGATGGACTTCTTGAACTAGTCTGCACAGATCTTGGCACACTAAGCAGACTCTGGCTTGCTGCACTTCAGGATTTTGCTCTGTTAACTTTGCCTTCAGAATTTGCCACCCAACTTCCTGGTGAAGGTAAGGAGGTATAATAATTAGATAATTCCTAGAAATAATAACTTATATCTTCAAAATTTCTCTATTAGCAAGTAATTTTTATCTCCCAGAACAATTTTCATTCATCAGATAAGGGTAGATACCTAGAAGTCAAAAGGCATGCACGTCTTACCTCACAAGATACAATCAAATTCCTCTCCAAAATGGCTGTAGCAATTTGTGTGCCTACCAGCAGCATGTTCCTGTTTCTTCACGCCTTCCCAACATGAGATATTACCACATTTAATTTTTGCTAGTCTGATGGAATAAACTAGTACTTTTATTTATTTCTTTGAAAATCATTTTTCATAAGTTTGTGTCTGTTTAAGTTGCTTATTACATAATCTTTACCCATTTTCTATTTTGTTTGTCCTTTTCTTACTGATTCATTAATCCTTCATATGTGCATTTTAATGCTGTTCCCTTGTGATGCCTGTCTTATACTTTTTTTTATTTTTTATGGTACTGGGGTCGAACTCAGTCAAGGCTTCACACTTAGGCAGGCGCTCTACCACTTGAGCTATGCCTCTAACCCATGGTTTGTGTTTTTGTGTGTTACTCAACACTTTTTTTTTTTTTTTTTTTACTTAAGATCATAAAGACCTTTTGCATTTTGAACTTTAGTTGAACTAGAATATATTTTGTAAGTATGGAATGGGATAATTAATTTTATACTCAGTTACTAATGTCACATTTATATGTTGGGTAGTTGTTAGCCACTCTTAATCTTCATGTTACTTCAAAATGTCTTGGCTGTTACTGTTTCTTTCTGGATATGCATTTTAGATACAGCCTGTCAAATTCTATTAGAATTTTGATTGGAGTTATTCACAAAGTGGTATGTAGAGTATTTATTATACTTTTCAGTATCATAAAAATGGAAACAAACTGATTTATTGACATAATTTAGTAGCAAAAGTGAATGGTATAGCACAAATAAATCTTAAAGCATTAGGTTTTTTTTTAAAGCAAGTTCCAAAAGGAAGAATACAATGTGATGCTTTTTAAGTAAATTTTTTAGTATACAAAATAATAACATTTATGAATACAAACATTGTGGAAATATAAGACTATACTTACACTGACTTGAAAGTAGTTACAAGAGCAGAGACAAAATTAGTCATAACAAAATTTTAGGGTTTTTTTTTTTTTTTTTTAAAGAAGAAAAGTAAGAGATTTAAGAAAATAAGGCAAGGAGGTGCTGGTGGCACACACATAAAATCCTAGCTACTGAGGTTGCGATCAGAAGGATCACAGTTTGAGGCCACCTGGGGCAAACAGTTCACAAGAACCCCCATCTCTAAACTAACCAGAGCAAAATAGCCTGGAGGTGTAGATCAAGTGGTAGTATACAAGTAGTAAATTATAAAAAAGGCTAAAATTATTCTTCAGATTTCTTACATGGTTTAGTATAAGTTAGCCCTATGACCCAATAGGTGTTCTCCCAGGAAAAATGAAAACATTGGTAATAAAATTACATTTTATGACAGAATGAATGAATCTCCAAAAATGGTAGAGGCAAAATAAAGTCAGTTACAAACACGTATTGTAGATAAGATTCAATTTACTAGAAGTTCAAGAACAGACAAGATCTGTGCTGAAAAAATCAAAAGCTGTTGCCTTGGGTTAAAGGGTACTGACCAGAAAGGGTCCGAGTGAACTTTCAAGAATGATAGAAGTAGTCTTTACCTTTAAGAGATGAAAAAGAAAATATATTGGAAACTAATTTCTTTTATTTCTCCTGAAACTGTTTGCTTCCCTTTTTCGCCCTTTGATAGGTGGCACTTTCTATACTGCAGAGACTAGCGAAAATGCAAAATTGCATTATCACAACTCATGGGCACTTATCCTCCATGCTGCAGCTCTGTGGCTTACAAGCACAGGCTTTGTTGTTGCTGAGCCTGATGAAGGTGCATCTAATCTCTCCAGGCCCGTAACACCAACTTCCATGTGCCAAGGTTCATCATCTGGGGCTACAGTGAAGTCTCCCGAGGATGTCTACACTGATAGGTTCCATCTGATTTTAGGTCAGTAAGAGTCACAAGCTTATGACACTTAGAGGGACCGTTCTTGAGTTGCACCTTGCTGCCCGTCTTCTCTTGGTGGTTCTCACTTCAGTCTTTATTGGTGTTAGTGACAGCCTTCATATAACTGGGTAAACTTATATATATATTTTTAATTATAAATTTTATTATGGTAAATCTAAAACCCTGTAACAAGTTGGCTTCAGTATCAAGTTGAATAAATTATTGAAATTGTAGAAGAAGCTTACTGTTTTTCTTTCCACACAATTTTTATTTGTTATTATTCTCTGTTTTATTTTATTTTTCTTACCACTTGAGCCATGCCCCCTCCCTTTTTAGTAGGTTTTTGTTGTTGTTTTCTTTAAATAGGAATGCTTCATGAATTTGGATGTCATCCCTGCACAGGGTTTTGTTTTTTTGTAGCCCAGCTGGTTTCAAACTCATTATCCTCCTGCCTCAACCGCCTGAGTGGGATTACAAACATGTACTACCACACCCAGCTTTCCATGAGAATTTCTCAGTATGCGTGCATTAATGTATATACATTAATCACAATAATTAACATACATTTATATACATACATGCTGACAGGTTTGTCCCCTTTTTCTCAACAATTGCAAATTTCAAGAAAGTATGCCCAGTGACACAATTCCAAGCATATATTAAATGCCAAAGATTACTAGGATTTTTTAAATTTATGAAGTTTAATCCTAATACATTTTTTTAGCTTTCCCTGAATGTCTTAATTTTTGGTGGCCAAACTGAGTAAAAAGTTAGTAAGACCTCATCTCAATAAACTAGCCAGGCATGGTGGAACATGTCTGTAATCTCAGCTACACAAGGTATATATAGGAAGATAATAGGTGGATCGTGGTCTGAGGCTGACCCCTAGAAAAATCAAGACCCTATCTGAAAAAAACTAAAAGCAAAAATGGGCTGGGGGCATGGCTGAAGTGGCAGAGTGCCTGCCTAACAAGCATGAGGTTCTGAGTTCAAACCCCAGTACTATAATAAATAAATAAATGTAAGTGATTAAAATTTATGACTCATAGATCTACCATCAAACTTGTAAGGGCTGGGGGTGTAGCTTGTGGTAGAATGCTTGTGTGGCATGTGATTCCCCAGCACTACAAAGAAAAAGTTTTAATTAAATTTTTAAAAATAAATAAATATGTTTTAGGGCTGAGCGTGTAGTTCAGTGGTAGATTGCCAGCTTAACATGTGTGAAGCCTTCGGACAACTCCAGAACCAAAACCAAACAAAACCCACAAACTATTAAAGAATAAACAATTGCAGTTAGGAGCAGAAGTTTTTCAGTTTTAATACTTGAGTTCAGACTCTTAATGTACCCCTATTGTGATTGACCTTAAACAAATTAACTTAAGCTCACAATTAAATTAATAAAAACTTAAACTGGGCACCTATGGCTCACACCTACAATCCTAGCTACTCAAAAGGATCAAGGTTCAAAGCCAGCCCAGACAAATAGTTTGCAAGACCTTATCTCAAAAAATCCCCAACACAAAAAGGGCTGGCAGAGTGGCTCAAGTGGTAGAGCAACTGCCTCGCAAATATTAGGTCCTGAGTTCACACCCCCATTACCCCCAAAAAATTAAAATAAAATGAAAACTTTTTTATTATAAATTTATTAGGATATATTTGTTATATGAGGAGGGGATTCATATAAGTATATGAAGTCCATCAACCATATACCCTCACCTTAATCTCCTTCATTCACTCTCCTTCTCCCACTAGAATCCCCAGAAATACACCGTACCTATTTTATAGTCCTGTCTTTTATTAATATTTAAGTTGATGTTCAAGGGCTTTCTCAGTGTATCCCCACTGTGAGTATACTTTACTTTGGTCCCTTCAACACTGTCCTAATATAAAAGCTTAAATAAATTGAGCTGGCAGAGTGACTCAGGCAGTAAGAGTGCCTGCATAGCAAGCATGAGACCCTGAGATCAAACCCTATTGCCACTAAAAATAATAATAATAAAGAAAAAAACTTAAATAAATTAATTCAGCTCTCTCTGCTCATTTCACTGTCTCAGATGTAATATGGTAAATCAAATGCCTAGGTTATACAAGGCCCTAGGCTCAGTCCTCAGCACCAAAAAAAGCCATGCACTGGTGGCTCACACCTGTAATCCTAGCTACCTGGGAGGCTGAGATTAGAAGGATTAAGGTTCGAGGCCAGACCAGGCAAATAGTTCAAGAGACCCCATCACCAGGTGGACTGGAGTTGTGACTCAGGTGACAAGAGTACCAGCTTTGCAAAGCCCTCAGTTCAAACCCCAGTCCTGCTAAAGAAAATAGTGGTAATAGTGCCAACCTCATCAAGGTATTGTGAGAATTTAGAAAAATGATGTATGTACAGCATAGTGCCTGACACAGTAACCACTCAGAAATTCTAAATGTTAAGTTCTCTGGTACAGTTTTAGTGTAATTTTTGCATCTTTGAACTATTTCATAACAGTGAAGCAAATTGTGCACAAATCCCACTTTAGATTACATTTTTGTGTAATTTTTGCATCTTTGAGCTATTTTATAGCAACTAAGCAAATTGTGCACATGCCTGCTTGAGATTATTCTTAGTGTATGTGTAGATAAAAACAAACTTATTGGAATTTCCTTATCACTTTATTCTTTGTAGTCTGAAATTCACTGTGGTTTACTTACACTACCTTTTTGCTAAGCTTATTTGTATATCTTATCAACATAAAGACTTATTATTTAGCTAAATGAAGATTAAATAAAATCTTTAAACAGCCTCCTTCTCTCTTTACTTTCCATAGGAATCGGTGTGGAATTTCTGTGTTCGTTGCGTTCAGATGCAACCATGGAAAGCATCACTGCTTGTTTACATGCATTACAGGTCCTGCTGGATGTTCCCTGGCCCAGATCTAAAATTGGCAGTGATCAGGTGATTTCTTGTTTTTGTTAGGCTTCTGTAGATTTCAAGGAACAGAAACATGTTCAGGTTACTATAGCAAATGGAAAGTGAAAAAACAGTAAAAAGAAGTCAAGAGCTGCACAGCCAGGCCTTGGAATCCGAAGTGCATCAGCATCTGTGGTATCCGGGGTGTGGGAGAGTAGTGTTGAGCCTCTTACTCTTCCATTTTCTGTCTCTGGACTTTCTATAGACAGGAAAGTTCCTTACTGCATTGTCTAGCGCAGAAGCCGTTAGGTACCTGTGGCATTCATTCTTTATCTGTGTTCCTGCAAACTGATCTTCACATTCATCTGTTATATTCCAGTTTCCCAAGAGAGAATCTAATTGGTACTGTAGTTACTGTACATTTTAAAGCATTGCTATTAGTTGGGCTCTCCCTCCAGGTCTTCTCAAGAGCCTAACCTGCAGGTAGAGTCAGGTACTAATGTCTGACCCAGATACTAGTGGCCATAGTGCTTCCTTTTCCTTCTTCAGGTTGAATATGCATTAGGCAGGCAATCTTAGCAGTGTATTAATTTTGTTATCGTTGGCTCAGGTGTTATGGAAATGGACAGTGTGATTTCCTCTCTACATAGACTGTTACTTAATTAGCACTGTCATTTGTTAAGTTTAAAGCAGTAGTCACATTCTTACCTCACTTAAATTGGACTAGAGTAAATTGTAAATGCTTTTATGCCCTTTTTCTCTGTGTGTTAGAACAAATACCATGACAGATTTACTCTGTTTCTTTCAAAAATGAAAGCAACCAGAGTAATCAAAAAGAAGGGAAAATGCAATAGTGATTTGTCAGTGTATTTTATCCTTTAAAGAGAGATCCATTTTAATGTCATGCTTCTCCCTCATTCTTTATTATTACTAGAAAGCCTGAATGTAAATCTGACAATCTACATGTCAGCCCTTGTGTTCTTTCAGCTGTGTTTCCTACCCTGTTTTGGAAATTTCCATTTTTTATTTTCTCAGTTTAAGACCTGTGTAAAATTGATCTTTTGTTATAGTGCCGGCTCTCACCAGATTAGATAAACAACATTCTGGAGTTGCTTTAAAGTGTTATTACATAACTCTGTTGAACTAACACCATATTTATTTTATTTTTTTTGGAATGCTTGCTAGGTAGGTGCTCTACTGCTTGAGCCACTCTGCCAGCCCATAGTACCATTATTTTTTATGAGCAATTTGTTTTATTCTCTTTTTCTGAATTTTGTCATGGCATTTGACATTGAATTTTTTTTACCAGGAAAGAAAATTGTGTATAACTTCCAATATAGTGTCCATTACATATTTTCTACACTAGGACTTGGGTATTGAATTGCTGAATGTGCTACACCGAGTAATTTTGACCAGAGAATCGCCTTCCATTCAATTGGCTTCACTTGAAGTGGTAAGGCAGATTATCTGTGCAGCTCAAGAACATGTGAAGGAGAAAAGACGAAGTGCAGAAGGTAAATGTTAATCATCCCCCCCATACACATCCTTTTTTTGTTCTGTGGCTCAAATCTAGGGCCTTGCACATGCTAGGCAAAAACTAGCATCCCCAGCCCACCATCAGTGTTTTTAAAAGTATTACTAAATGTAGCTATGGTGATGTCTATTGTGTTTAAGACAAATGCAACATCTCTAGCATGGCTTTAAATCCTCTCCTCCTGTTTAGTATGTTAGCTTAGATATTGTCAGTAGCTTTGCTGCCATTCTTTGGGAAAATGAATTTGTTTTTTGTGGTACTGGGGTTTGAAACCAAAATGAGAAATTTTTAAAACCTGGGAGAGCACTGGAGGTGTGCCTCTCAAGCACAAGGCCCTGAGTTCAAACCTCAGTACCATCAGGCAAAAAAACTGAGAGAAAAGAATTTCTTATGCTGCTAGAGTGTTTGCTTTTGCTGTGTTTACTAGATACATGAAAAGAACTACTGGCACTTATTTAATACCTTATGTTTGCAAATTGCTTGTTTATAATTCTAATACAGTGTTGATAAGTCTATCACTTTAAGATTGCATTTATCTACATATAGTAGAAAACTCAATATAAAAGTAGATTTAAAATACAAAGATTTATTCTCTTAAAGACATCAGGGACCTATGTTCCTATCTTTGCCCTACCAATACCTAAGGTGACACAATCACTATTGAAGTTCCAGCCATCAGCAAGAAAGGGTTAAAGGCAATATTATAAGGCTGATAGAATTACACAGAATTTTTTTTAATCCATTGCAGTAATAACTCATAATAAAAACAGCCGCTTTCATCTCCATAACTACTTTCTCCTTTAGCCTTTTACACCCAAGACTTTAGCCATTAAATGTATTACTTGTAATGAAAATGAATTAAATTGCCATCTACTAGAAGCAAAGCATGCATAATGTATTTGTTAAATACTTTTCTTTCTGTCTTGTAGTTGATGATGGAGCTGCTGAAAAGGAAACCCTGCCAGAATTTGGAGAAGGAAAGGACACAGGAGGACTAGTGCCTGGGAAGTCTTTGGTCTTTGCGGCACTAGAACTATGTGTATGCATTCTGGTTAGACAGCTCCCAGAGCTAAATCCTGAATTGACAGGTAGCCCCAGAATAAAAGCTACAATGCCACAGATGCTGTCAGAAGATGGAAGTAGATTGGTTTCAGCTGCACTGGTTATCCTCTCTGAACTTCCAGCAGTATGCTCTCCTGAAGGTATGCTATGATGTACAGTTATTTGCTTGACCTGAAAGGAAGAGAAATAGCTTTAGTAGATAATTTAGCCTAGTTGCTAATCTTTTTCTCATTAAGACAGTGCTAACCCAAACATTTGAATGTTGTTTCTAACCCTGTAAGGTTATCAATGCATTTTAGTAATTTGCTTTATTAAAAGAGTGAAAGTAAATTAGAAACAGTAAGTATTACAGTAAGTATTATAAATGGACATGCTCTTCTATGATTGGCAATTTTTTCCAATGCTGGTAATGGAATCCAGGGCCTCAAGCATGCTAGGCATATGCTCTACCACTGAGCTACATCTTTAGCTGACAATATTTTAAATCAGTCAATGGCATTTTTTTCAGTATACAATGTGTAATGGACTTTTCCTGCCTCAGTCATAAGAGAAATTTGTCATTATATCCAGTTCTATTTGAAATTGAGTCTACTGGATTCTTTCATATAGCTTTCAAGACTATATGCTCTGCTGAGCCCAGCAACTTTTCCTGATTCCTTCTTTGCAAATCCTAAACCCAGAAGGTTTCATGTTCATCCTTCTTCTGGGCTATTACTTGATCTAAAATAACGCCATTCCTTCCCTGCTTTTCAAATTTTTTCTTCCTTCAAAGTTTAATTCCAGTTCTAGCTCATCTGTAAAGACCTCCCAAAAACTGTACCTCATACTGAGTTTTGTTTCATGAATATATGTATATTTCTATATATAAATCTTATGACCTTTTTGGTTTGTTTGTTCTGTGCTTTGGACTCAGGGCCTTGCTCTTGCTAGGCAGGCACTCTACCACTTGAGCCACACCCCCAGCCTTTTTTGGTTTGGTTATTTTTCTAATAGGGTCTTGGATTTATGCCCATGATGTCCTCAAAGCATGATCCTACCGATAACTGCCTCACAAGTAGGTAGGATTACAGGCATGAACCACTGTTCCCGGCTGGCTTTTATCTGTTATGAAAGATAAAATAAATGCATTACTTGCAATTTATTATTATATGTATTATATTATATATCCAACTAAACTTTGTAAACTACAAAATGTAGTACATACCAAGTTATTCGTTACTTAATAGATTTTTCTAATTAGCAAGCATATCTCTGCTTAAATATGTCATGATCAGTCAGTAAGCTATCTTATTTTTAGGCTCATGACTTTAAGCCTCAGTTTGAATTCAAACATGGACTTCTTGTTCTCACACCATCTTATACCAAGAGTGGCAGAAAAGACTATCAGAGAATTAGGGATAAAAATACACTATGTAAGTTGTTGAGTAGTATCCAAGAAAATTAAATTGATCATTTTAGCTTTCGTTTTTTTCACATACACTTTAACCTTATAACTGGCTTCAACTCCTTAGTGGCCATGACAACTTTTTTTCCTTTTTTGAGGCAGTGTCTTACTACATAGCTGAGGCTAGCCTCAAACTCATAATCCTCCCTTCTCAGCCTCCAGAATGTTAGGATTACATGCATGTGCCACCATCCCTTGCTTCATGAAAACTTTTAATAGTTGTTCTGAGAATCTTCACAAATTCTTTAAAAAAAAAAAAACTGTAATATAAATTCAGGGGATAGTAGTGATAGTTACACAACATTGTTAATATGCTTTAATTCTCTGGACTGTATGCTTCAATATAGTAAAAACAGGCAGGTATGATGGTACACACCTGTAATTCTAGCGCTTCATAGCCTGAGGCAGGTGCATGAAGTTCAAGACCAGTCTGGGCTGCATAGCAAGTTCAAAGTGAATTTGTCAATCACCAAGTAAAATACCACAGCAAAGGGACAATGATGCTAAGTGAATTAAATGACATTGCTAATATAGCCATCAAAAATCTTTATCTCTGAGCTATACTTTGAGCCCCAGGAGATAGTCTTAAACACTAGAACTCTCTTGACATGATATTACTCACTGAGAAAAAAAGTGGGTGCATGTGTTAAAATTTTTTATCTTACAGGAAGCATCTCAGTTCTTCCTACTATATTGTACCTCACAATTGGGGTCCTCCGAGAAACTGCTGTGAAGTTACCTGGGGGCCAGTTATCTTCAACGGTTGCAGCTTCCCTGCAGGCTCTAAAAGAAATATTATCTTCCCCCATGGCCCGAGCAGAAAAGAGCCACACTGCTTGGACTGACCTCCTCCGTAGTGCTTTGACAACAATTCTTGACTGTTGGGATCCAGGTAATTAAGGCTACTGTGAAGAACTTGCTTGGTTTTAAAAATGAGAGGAATGGTGTTTGGAGGAAGCTATTTACTTGATCATATTTGGCAGCCTCACCTGAAGAAGACCACACTAGGTATTTAGAGGGTACTTACAGGGGTGGAGTGTGGCTCAAAACACACATAGAAGATGTATATACATTTTTGCATCTTTAGTTTTTTTTCTTTTCTTTTTTGGTGGTACTGGAGTTTGAACTCAGGGCTTCTCACTTGCTAAGCAGGAGCTCTACTGCTTGAGTCAAGCAGTCCTGGATCTTTAACCTATAATGCAATTAAATGCCAGCAGCCTCTATGTTGATAGTGAGAGACCTCCAGGTATAATAATATGTTTATTTTAAAATGTAGTATGATCTGTCTCTGGCTGACCAAACTTTTTACTACACATAGTATCCTGAAATGTGCTTAAGCCATACATTATAAATGTAAAATAAGATCAGTTTCATTCATGATGCCAGTATTAGCTAAGTGGCTAGCCAAGCTACTCAATCTCCCTGAGTTTCCTCATAAATGAATAAGGATATTATGTTGAGGAAATTGTTGGAGAATAAACATGTACATGAGAAGCATCTCACTCAAGGTGCAGTGGCCCAGGCCTGCTCTGGGGAGACTGAGGCAGGAGGATCAAGAGTTCAAGGCCAGCCTGAGCTCCATAGTGAGACCCTGTCTGAAAAAAAAAAAAAAAAAAGGAACTTGTTTAGTACCTGGCATATATCAATAAATGACAGCCAGTATTGTTCATCATTGAAATTTTTTGTCTTTTAAAGTCTTTGAATATATTATATAATATCCCTGCTTTCCCTGTCATGTTTATAAACATCACAGTTTACCCAGTTTGAGTTTATGGAACCAAAAAAAAAGAGAGAGAATAGTCAGCAGTCTAAAACGCTGTGGAGAAGTCAAACAATATGGGAGTTAGGGCTTACAGTGTGGAAGTATAAATGAGTAATAAGCAAGGATTCCTCTTGATGGAAGAAAAGAATCATGAGAAGGATGGAAGGTCAAGGATTTTTTTTTTTTTTCTTCTGTTGAAGAATCTCACTGTGTAGGCCAGGCTTGGCCTTGAATTCACAATCCTCCTGCCTCAGTTTTCTGACTGCTAGGATTACAGGTGTGCACCACCACACTCAGCCAGGAATATTTTATTTTTAAAGATGAGTCTTTAGCATTAGGTTCATATTAGTGGGGGGAAAAGTAGGTAAAGGGACTGGAGTTGGAAGTACTACTGAGTCAAGCAGCATTCCTATTAGACCAAAAGGAAAAAAATTCACAGCACATTTAAAGCGATTAACCCCTACCAATAAAAGTAGAGGAACAGGATGGAAAAGTAATAGTTTTTATATTGGAGGTTATAACAAGCTTACTTCTTTCATCACACACACACACAAATAGGCCAGGACTTAGAATTTTGATGAGCTATTGAGAGAAATTTAAGCTGATCATGATGAGTGAAGTATTTGCAGTGTAACATGAAACAAAACCAAGCGGCATGCCAGCACTGGTTTCTGACAGCTGTAATCCTAGCTACTCGGGAGGCAGAGCTCAGGAGGATCAAGGTTCACAGCCATCTGGGCAAATAGTTTGCAAGACCCTTTTTCAAAAATACCCAACACAAAAAGGTGGTGGAGTGGCTCAAGTGGTAGAGTGCCTGCCTAGCAACTGTGAGGCCCTGAGTTCAAACCCCAGTTCCACCAAAAAAAAAAAAAAAGTGGCATAAAACAGTGAACATGCTCTCTATGGTCCATGCTTCCAAGATGACCAAAAAAGGAGGAATAATGGTTGTGCATAAAAGGGCTGCAGCCACGTGTAACTTATTCGCTGTACAAACTGCAAACCCGATGCGTGCCCAAGGACAAGGCCATTAAGAAGTTCGTTATTTGGAACATAGTAGAGGCCGCAACTGTCAGGGACATTTCTGAGACGAGTGTCTCCGACGCTTATGTGCTTCCCAAGCTCTATGTGAAACTGCATTACTGCATAAGTTGTGCCATTCACAGCAAGGTGGTCAGGAATCAATCTTGTGAAGCCCAAAAGGACTGAACACCACCACCCCAATTTAGACCTGCTGGTGCTACTCCACAACCTCCACCAAAGCCCATGTAAGGAGCTGGATCCTTAAGGACTGAAGAAAAACTGTCCTCTGGAATAAAATTTAAAAAGTAAACATTTATTATCTGACAGTTTCTGTGGATCAGGGATAGCCTGGTAGTTCTAGCTCAGGGTCTCTGCTGAGGTTACTGTTAAGACAATGGCCAGGGCTACAGCTAGAGGATCCAACTCCAAGATGCCTCCTTCACACAGCATTGAGTGAGAGGCCTTACTTCCTTACCACACAGGCCTCACCGTAGGACTACCACCAAGGGAACTTTGCATCTGTTCTCAGAAAAACAAAAGCGGTGTAAAGGAGTTTTAGAAGAAACGGAAAGAACAAGCCAGGAGAATTTTATCTTACTGAGAATAAAATGACATTTTACTAAACTGACTGGCTGAGAATGTTGCAGTTTGAAGTTGCCATAGATGTCTAAAAATAACTTTGCTGTACGGGAAGCAATATATCATTCTGGTTAAGAGTATACTCTCTGGAATCAGATTGTCCGCCTTACTAATTTTGTATGGCTTGGGCAAATGATCAGATTCCTCTTTGTCATGCATAAACTGGAAGAAATAAGAGGAGTATTTCTGCCTGTAATCCTAGCTACTTGAGAGCCTGAGATAGAGAGGATCAGGGTTCAAAGCCAGCCTGGACAAATAGTTGGCAGGACCCTGTTCCCAAAATAACTAGAGCAAAATGGACTAGCTCCAGTGGTAGAGAAAATGTGAAGCCCTGAGTTCAAACTCCAGACCCACCCAAAAAAAAAAAAAAAAAAAAGTACCTTCCTCATGGTGCTGTTAAAAGGATTTGATGTTTAATGTATGAAGCACTTATACACAGTGCTGTCATGTTAACTTTAAGTGTATTTATATAACCACTTTACCTTAAATAACTCAGATGTCTTTTATAAGTGGATCCTACTCATCCATAAAATTTTGCCTTTCTTGAAATGTGTCTCTCAGGTATCAGCTCAGATGATCAGCTCAGTCTCAAGTGGGTGGCTTTCTCTGACCATCCATTGTTAATTACTCTAGGTTACTTCCTGTGGTTTTATTTGCTTCCCAATGTATAGCATATCTTTTCTGTAAATTGGATTCTCAGTGCCTAAAAGCAGGCTGGCACATAGTGTTTCTTAATTACTTAATGAATGAATATGATCAAAGCTACTATATATGTATGTCATTTCTTCATAAATAATAACCTGTTCTTAAATAATGTAATAGGTTAAATTCACCACACCTTTCTTTTTTAAATCACATTGATTTAGCATAATAGGTTCATTAAAATGTTAAGGAAAGTATCACTTTGGACAATGAAGGTAAGGTATTTCTAATAGAAAATTCCTTCAAACAACTGTGGCTTCCACAGCTATTTTCAGATTTTTCTCTATTGTTAAGAAATAGTATGTATAGACAAAGTGCTAAGGTATTTTCACTTGGTACATGTATTAGCCTTTAACCTTAAAGAAAAACCAATTGCCCAAGCACTTCATTTGTATAGTAAAAATAATTCATAGGCTACTCATTGTACTGTGCACCTGAGTCCCACTACTTAGAGTTCTATTGTTACTCCCATTTTATAAATGAGAAACTAAACATAAACTTACTTGTCCAATGTCATGCAACTAATAAATGCATATATGTACTGCCTGATATCTTTACTTTTGAAGATTAAAATTGCTTTGGTAGTTCTTGGCTCTAGAATAAGTTAAAACCCACATCTTAAATATTTGCCAAGCTTTTTTTTGAGGTGTGGGTAATGAATTGCAGGGCTTCACATATGCTAAAATTGCACTCTACCTCTTAGCTACATATCCACCCCACCAACATTCTTAAAGTCTGTCAGTCAGCAAGCACAAGGTCCTGAGTTCAAGCCCTAGTACTGACAAGAAAAAAGAAAGTAGATTTGGATGGAAATTCAAATCTTCTGACTTCAAATTAAAGTCCAGCATCATTGTTTATGGTTTGCATCTATTGTATATATTGAAAATATTATTGCTAACCAAGTTAAAGATAGCTTCATACAGATACTACAGGAGTAAATATGATCCATTCTAATTGATGATTTCTCTTTAGTTGATGGAACACATCAAGAACTTGATGAAGTCAGTCTGCTTACTGCTATCACAGTATTTATTTTGTCTACCAGTCCAGAAGTGACTACCATCCCATGCCTTCAGAAACGCTGCATTGAAAAATTTAAGACTACCCTTGAGATAAAAGATCCTCTGGTAAGTGCCTTTTAGCAGAGAGATGTTTGTAGTGGGAATAGAATTAAATTTTTGCAAAACTTTTCTTTGTGATTTCATTGGCTCCAACAAGAAGTATTAGACTACAATTTTTCCTTTTTGGATCTGGGAGTGATGCCTGTTCTTGGGGTAACAAAGCCAAATAATGGTCTTACTCTTCTGCCCTAAGGATGAAGGGTAGTGAGGAAAAGAGAAAATGTTTAAAAACTAAGCTTGAAATGAGGGTATCTTAAAATTAATGTACCTCTAAAATTTCTATTGATATATAAAAGCTTCACTGGGGCCGAGATCGGGAGGATAGTGCTTCAAGGCCAGCCAGGGCAAAAAGTTCATGAGAGCCCCCCGCCCCCCAACCAGTGGCTGGGCCCAGTGATGTTTGCCTGTCAGCTTTGTGGGAAGCACAAACAGGAGGATCATGGTCCAGGCCGACCCAGGCACAAAGCAACACCTTAACTCAAAAATAACCAACAAAAAGTCAAGATAGTTTATAGATTATAGAGGATCTCCTTTTATGAAAGGAAGGAACAAAGAGTAGCACATGCCCTCGGTAATATGATTGTGAAATAATGGGCCCATTCCAAAAACAGTATACACAAGTTGATCCTATTCTCTATAGTTATTCCACTTGCAAGATTAATTTCCTATTCTTTTGTGTGTTACAAAATGAGTGTGCAGCCCATGCTCGCAAATATCTGGCACCAAAGATATAGGAGCCAAATTTTCTCTCAAGGGCTGGCAGATTGACAGTTGGTAAAGCAGCAGCCTAGCAACCATGAGGCTGAGTTCAAACCCCAGTCCCACCCAAAAAAAAAGATGGTATATAGTCTTTCCTTTTATCCTGTCCCATTTGCTTGCTGCCTGCAGGAATTTTATGGCAGTCTGTCAGTGGTGGCTCTGATACATGGTGGTTGTTTCTTTTTTTTTTTTTTTTTTTTTAATTGTTGTGCTGGGTGGGGGTACATTGTGGCATTTAAAAAGTTCTTACAATATATCGAATATATCATACTTGAATTCACTTCTCCACCGTTCTCCTTCATTCCCTTCTCCCTCCATTCCTGGAATAGTTTCAACAAGTCTCATTTGTCTATTTACATTCATGTATATACAGTATTTGTACCACATTCACCCTCCTTCACCATTTCCCCCCTCCTCCCCCATCCCACTGGTACCAATCCCCCTTGGGCATAGTTCTTTAAAAACCTTCAGCTCATGACATTTGAACATCAAATACGTGAGATTAAGATCTAAAACATTTTCTGAAATTGTCAAAATATTTTTCCGGGTTTGTCTGTGTTTTGTTGTTTTTGGTTTTTGTTGTTGTTATGCATTATAAAGAGAGACATGAGGGAGAAAGTGGAAACTAGAAAAAAGAAGAGGGGTCACTCAGTTATTATCCTTTACTATTACACACATATGCTTCTATACCACTCTGAACTGTCACAACTGAAATCAGAGTTTTTGTCCACAAGCCCAACTCCAGAGGCTGGGTCTGGCCACCTGTCCCAGCACACCAAACAAAGAGATGAATATGGTGAAAGGAAGTTGTTTATTATGCAGCCCAGGCATGCAGCAGAAAGTGGTGAAGTATGTACTCCAGCTCATCCTCAGTATAGGCATGAGCTTTAGGTTTCAACAGAGAAAGAATTAGGGTGCTGGCTAAGAGGTTAAACAGTCCCAGTCACAGTATGCCTAATTGCTCATTATCTCAGTTCTGGTTCTCCCAGGGGTTCCAGAGAAGTTTTCACTGTCATCACTTGAGGGGAGCAATCTGGTTCCCATGAGACGATTGATTACTTTTGCTCCAGGGTGCAGCTTCAGCATTATAGGTTAGATCATTGTCCTCATGTGAGAGATGGTCTGTCCTGTAAGACTCTGCTGATCCTTTCTCCAGGGTTAGTTTTAGCTCCTTGTAAAGATGTTATCAATAAGTCCTGTCCTTCTTGTATTCCAAGATGACTGCAAGGTGAATGGCTCAGAGCAAAGACAGACAAAAAAATGGAGACAGAAGAGCCAGGCTCTTCTCCTGCTTTTAATTTCTATGTCCAAGTAAGGGGTCAGTACTTTTTAGCAAAGGCAGTTTCTAGTACACACCTACCATTAGCATTTAAGTTTGAATACCTGTTGGTACTTAGACTTCCATAATTAAAAATAAGCTAGAAATAAATTTAAATACATTTGCAACTTTAACTGGTGCTGGTGGCTCACAACTGTAATCTTAACTACTTATGAGGTTGAGATTGGAAGGATCACTGGATTGCTAGCCTGGGCAAATAGTTTGTGAGACCCCCCTGTCTCCAAAATAACCAGAGCAAGATGGCTGGGAGGTGTGGTTCAAGTGGTAGAGCGCTTGCTTTGCAAATGCAAAACCCTGAGTGCAAAACCACAGTCCTACCAAAAAAAAGAAGGAAAAAAACAAAAAAAACCCAAAAACCCAGCGCCGGTGGATCACGCCTATAATCTAGCTACTCAGAAGGCAGAAATCAGGAAGATCACAGTTCAAAGCCCTATCTCAAAAAAACTCTTCACAAAAAAAGGGCTGGTGGAATGGCTCAAGGTGTAGATCCTGAGTTCAAGCCCCAGTACCATTAAAAGAAGAAAGAAAGAAAAAGAAAAATTTTTTTAAAATAGTCATAAGGGATATTTGTTTTAGGGACTTTCTTTTAATTTACAGTTTATTCTTGTGTCTTACCTGACTAGGTACAAATCAAGACCTATCAGCTCCTACATTCCATTTTTCAGTATCCAAATCCAGCTGTTTCCTACCCATACATTTACTCTTTAGCATCTTCCATTGTGGAAAAACTGCAGGAAATAGATGAGAGAAAACCTGAAGACACAACTGAGCTTCAGCTCTTTCAAGAAGGCATAAAGATCCTGGAAGCGCTGGTTACTGTTGCTGAAGAACGGCATCGTAAGTGTCAGCTCTAAATTTGTACTATCTCAGGGCCTCTCAAAAGTCAGAATTCAAGTTATTTAAATTGTAAAACATTAACTTAGTCACATTACATGTGTGTTTCACATTCATTTAAAGACAGGTATTGATTGACACTGTGGTGTGCACCTATAAATCCAGCTGCTCTAGAGGTGAGGCAGTGTTTCAGGCCAGCCTGGGCAACATAGCAAAACCTTATCTCAAAAAAAAAAAAAAAAAAAAGCAGAAATATAAATATATTTATATATAAATCCAAGATATTTATATTAGTTGGTATTAATTTGCGAGAAAAGATTAGAAGAATTGTTTTCTCTGTAAGGGAAAATGTGTACACAAGTAACATTTTGCAGCCTTGCATGAAGAATGGTTATGTTGGTGAACTTACATCCTTTGTTTACTTACTAGGCTCTCAGCTGGTGTCCTGTCTTCTGCCCATCCTCATTTCCTTCCTTTTGGATGAGAATGCTCTGGGATCAGCAAGTTCAATAATGAGAAATTTACATGACTTTGCTTTGCAAAATCTCATGCAGATTGGACCTCAGTATTCATCAGTTTTTAAAAATGTAATGACTTCTTCTCCATCCCTGAAAGCCCGCCTCGAGGCTGCTGTAAAGGGCAATCAGGAAAGTGTCAAAGTCAAGTTGCCATCATCTAAGCATAGTATGAATCCTGGAAAGAATTCACTTATCCAATTAAAGACCAATTTCCTCTGATTTATTTTTTTTGGAATAGTAAGCACCTTAATCTAATACTTGATCATTTCCTTGTCTTTGAGGACAAAAGTGAAATTTTAGACACAACTGCACTTGGAGGTCTACTTGATTGTTTTAGCTTAAATAGCTGCGACTTTGCAAACTTAACATTTTTTTTCTATTTTAATAAGACCATAAAGCTGTCAGAATTCTTGCCAGGAATTTCGATAAAGTGCTAAAGAACTAAATTTGCTAAATAATTCACTGCTTAAAACATGAAATGGATTTCTTATAACAATCCATGTACACGTGGTATACTTTCTGTGAGAAATCCAGATTTTACTCTAGTATAAATTATCTGCACTTTTATTGTATCCCAGTTGCTAATTTAAAATTCTGCCTTAATGATAGGATTAAACTTTCTTGGATTTCTCAAACCAAATAAATGATTGGGAAGCTATTTTGGAAAGCTATTTATTGGATAATTAGAATTATCCAATAAATGAAAGTACAAATTAGTTTCATTCCTACAGAGTGACTTAAGATTTGGTGTCTGCCTGTATCGTGACTTTTCACTATCTTTCAACTTATATTATGTTCACAAAATGCAAGTTTTATTCATTTTAAATAGAAAAAGAGCATCTCGATTTTACCCTTTCTCAAGTGGATTTTCTGTTACCTCTGTTGCTAACAGTTTTGTTCATTTTCATTTGTGGCAAACATATTGATGAGTTTAATATAGATTCATATCTGTATTGTTTTTAGATCAACTTTGGGTTTGTATGAATGCCAAATTTATTACAACAAATGTAGCTCATCATTGAATACAAATTTTTTTTAAATGCAACATATTTTAATATTGAAAAATCTATTGCTAAAGTCATTGGTTAAATAATATTTTTAACTCTGTTCATGATCATTAATTCTCCTTCTACTTCAGTGTTGTATCATGTGAATCAAGCATTATGTCAAAAAAAAAAAAAGCATTTCCCTGTTAAAAAATTAGACTGAAGTGACAGCAGCATGTTTAGAACTGAGAACTTTGATTCAAGAAAGAGCAATGTAATGTACTCTATTTTATTATGTTTGTATATAAATACTCTTGTAAATTGTTCAGAATGGAAAACATTTGACAAATTCTAACACTACGATCAATTTTTCTAAATTACATAAATAAAGCTAATTTTCTTTATCTTTCTTGTATTTTAAATTATTTCACCCAGGAAAAATAGGATTGAAACATTCCAGAAAATCAGTTCTATTTTCCTAAGTGTCTGTAGGATTTGAGTGTGTATTATTTATGTTGCCTTCACCTGAGTGCCCTTTTTTCTCCCTTGTTTTGTCTGGTGGACTCCCAATCCTTTCAGTCCTGGCATGTATGTCATTTCCCCTTGGTTACTCCTTAAGACTTCTTACTGTCTCTTAAACCAGATTTAGCTGCTTTCTCATCTGTTTTCCAAACTTAGGACTTAATACATTCCCAGTACGTGAAACATCATGTTGTATTTTATATCCTCTTAGCCCTTTTAGGACTGTTTCCTCAAGGGAGAGACTTTATCTCCTGTGACCTCACCTCTGTAGCATCAATTAAGTGCTTAGTAGCTATTGAGCTGTTTTGGTGTAGGATAGATGGACTCAGAAATGTAATCCTTTACCAAGGCAAATACTGGACCAAGTTGTTCTCTAATGTATAATTTATTAGTTTGACTCTATTTTTCTAATTGTTTTATCTGTTTTAATTGTTTCATTTAGTTCTTAACATTCAGATTTCTACTCACCATTTAGTGCATAATGTCCTGAATTATTAGGGCTAAAAGTGCTATGTGAAGCCAGTAGTTATGAAAAAATATTGTCTTGAAATTGGGAACTTTGAGTTAGGCAGTATGCAACCTCTCCTAAATGTATTATCCTATTTAATAACACTGAATTATTAAGCATTATCTTACTGATAAGGAAGTGAAGTAGTAACAGCTGAGATATGAATCCATCTTTCTAATCCTACCAAGCACATTGGAGGCAGAACAAGGGCTCTTGAGCTCCTGATTCCATGAGAGTAAGGCTGTTTTCACTGCTGCAGGCTCCCCTCTGGGGCCTTCCTCATTCCTTGTGGAAGGTGTTTTCAGTTACATTTCTCTAAATTGCAACCAAAAGATTTTTACTAATATTGTAGGAAAAAGTTGCTGTGAGAACAGATTATTTGGTAAAATATCTGGAAGGAGGAGTTTCCTAACTGAATCATAAAAGCTGAAAAATACATTAAAAGTTCTTTATATCAGTTTTATTTTTAATGAGCCACACTTGTAATAAGGCAGTTGAATGTTAATTAGCTTGGTAACTCTTTACAAATTAAATACATTGATTAGCAAGTTGAATAAAATAATCAGTGGTGTACTCTTTGTTCCCCCCATGAAGGCTTATGTTTTGAAAATTTGGTTCCTAGCTGGTGGCACTATTGAGAGTTTATTGGATTCTGAGGAGTGCTAATAACCCATAGCTAAATGGGTTATTAGAAAGTGGTACCTACCTACTTGGAGGAAGCAGGTTACTAGGGTATGTTGGTTTTTTGTTTGGTTGTTTGTTTTTTGCAGCACTGGGGTTTGAACTTGGGCCTTATACTTGGTAGGCAGATATTCTTTCACTTGAGCCACTCCTCCAGCCCTGGGGTATACCTTTGAAGGGTGTCTCTCCAAGACTCTCTCCTTTCTCCTGTCTCCATCCCACCCTTTCCTGGCTGCCATGAGACCAAACAGCTTTGCTCTTCCATCTACTTCCTGCCATGATGGTTTGCCTTGCTGTGGGCCTAAATCAATGAAGCCAAGTGACCATGAATGGAAACCATGAGCCAAAATAAATCTTTCCTCCTTTAGCTTGTTTTTCTCAAGTGTTTTGTTACAGCTATGGATAACTGACTAATGCAGTATTTGTCTTGAGCTTCCCCCACACACATACCACCAAGGGAAGAAACTATAGGCAAAGATTCCAGTTGACTCATTTTATTTAGTCCACTTCTTAAAAGCTTCATGGAAAGGCTTAACGTTCGATATAGCAGATTTCTACTAAGAGAAATGTTACTTCTATAAAGTAAACTTTACCATCGATTTAAAGGGAACACTGGGCAGGAGGCATGCTCAAGTGGTAAAGCGCCTAGCTGGCAAGTATGAGACCCCAAATTCAAACCCTGCTGGCAACAAAAAAAAAAGGAGGGAGGGAGGGAGGGAGGGAGAGAGAACATAAAGACATTAAACTTTTTGTGTGGAACAGGGGGACTGGAATTTGAACTCAGGGTTTGAGTTTGCAAAGCAGATGCTGTACTGCTTGAGCCATACCTCCAGTCCTAAGCACTTTAAAAAGATACCAAAAAAAGTTGCTATAAAAGTGGTACAAGGGTGCGTGCCAGTGGCTCATGCCTGTAGTCCTAGCTACTCAGGAGGACCACAGTTCAAAGTCAGCCCGGGCAAATAGTTCTTGAGACCCTATCTTGAAAAAACCCATCACAAAAAAAAGGGCTAGTGGAATGGCTGAAGGTATAGACCCTGAGTTCAAACCCCAGTACTGCAAAAAAAAAAAAAAAAAAAGTACAGTCAGGCTGGTGGAGTGGCTCAAGTGGTAGAGAGCCTGCCTAGCATAGCAAGCGTGAAGCCCTGAGTTCAAGCCCCAGTGCCATTTAAAAAAAGAAAAAAAAAAGGTGGTACAAGTTTCTGTGAGAGCCCAAGGAATAAAACTGGGGTTTCTAAGATACCTTCGTGGAAAGAGTTCATATGATGCATGCTTAGAGAATAGCACTTGGTGGAATAAATGCATAACCCAAGAGTCTTGTCACAATTTTGAAGAGAATTCCTTTTGTTCTTTTATTATACTATTAGATATGCATAAGAGAAGAAATTGAGTCCTCAAACTAATAAACTATGAAAATGTTAACACAAAATTGACAATATATGAATTAACCTGAGTCTCCAAAAAACTATAAAATGTTGAATTGTTTCTGACTGCTTACTGGTTGCATTACCTTGCATTGGTCTCAGTCCTACAGCTTCATCTGTCTGTGTGTCTTACCAAAGCCTCATTAATATTCAGAGCTATAATGCTGTCTTCTCCATCAATTGAATATACTTTCCGCTTTACAAATAACTTGCTAATCCTTGCAAGACTCAATTTATCAGGAGAAATTTATCTCAGTGTTCGCTAGTTACATAGTTATCAACTGTGGGTGAGCAGACCGACAGCAATGTGCCCACGATGACTTCTTAACTTTTTACCAGTCAGTTTAGCTAGTGTTTGGGCTTTTTAGCTTTGAGGAAATGCTAGAATATATCCAGTGCAGACTACAAATACAATCCCAGATATGTAAATCCAAAGATGCTGCTGCCCTTAATTACGTTCGTTTAGTACTCCTACACAATCTCCTTGTGGGATTATAAAACGGTGATTCCACAGGCTACTTAGGAAAAATTCCTATTGATTCTTAGAAGAATGTGCCTCACATACTACTCTTTAATTACACAGTGTCTTTTTGTTTTTTTTTTTTCTTTGCATGGTTCTGGGGTTTGAACTCTGCCATTTGTGGTTGCCCTACCACTTGACCCACTCTGCCAGTGCTTTTTTTGTAATGGGTTTTTGAGATAGGGTCTCAGACTATTTTCATGGGCTGGCTTCAAACTACGATCCTCCTGATCTCTGCGTCCTGAGTAGTTAGTGTTACAGGCGTGAGCCACGAGCACCCAGCCAAGTATCTTTTTTAAAAAAAATAAAAAATAAGAGGCATTGCTACCAGTCAGAAACTGATATTGGGGCTATGAATGGAGTGTACAGTGCTGGCCTGGCATGCATGAGATGTAGGTTCAATCTCCCATGCCACAGATAGACAGACTGGTATTGACACTGAGATCAAATTTGATCTTAATGAGAGCAAATTTAATCTTTTTTTCTAAGAAAATAAAATAACTTTAAAAAAAAGTTATAAGCAGAAATTTTATAGAGAGATACACACAAACCCATTTATCAGAAATAGACTGCAGCCAGTTGCTGGTGGGTCAGGTCTGCTGCTTGGGAGGTGAGATTGGGAGGATCAAGATTCGAGGCCAGCCTGAGTAAATAAGTTCTAGAGACCCCATCTCCAAAATAACCAGAACAAAATGGACTGGAGGAGGTATGGCTCCAACAGTAAAGCACTTGTTTTGCAAGCACAAAGCCCTGAGTTCAAACTCCAGTCCACCAAAAAAAGTATGCCAGTGATAGAGCAAAAGCAGTTTTGTTAGTGCCATTGTACAACTGGAAGTTCAAGTGGCCTCAGAAGCAAACATGTATATGCAGCCAAAACAGAGACTCTCTTAACAGTGAGGCCTCTGAATGCCAGTGTCTCTCTGCCGATTACTTGTTTCTGGTCTTCATTAAAGAAGCATGGGCCTTTATTTTATAATCAAATGCTGGAG